AATCTCTGCTCTTCCGTTAATGAAACAGATTCACCGGGGACCCCTCAGGCACGTAAAAAGTCACCTAATTCCGTCATTTTCCACCAATGTGTTACTGTTCCTCTCAAACAACTCACATTTTTGTCAGTGAAGCTGAGTGCTCCCACACCTCTTCCTTCACAGTGCCCATCTACATTAAGATCCAGAATTCTGAGATTAAAGTCACAATTCTGAGATTAAACTCAGAATTCTGAGATTAAAGCCAGAATTCTGAGATTTAAGTCACAATTCTGAGATTAAACTCAGAATTCTGAGATTAAAGCCAGAATTCTGAGATTAAAGTCAGATTTCTGAGATGAAAGTCAGAATTCCTAAGGAAAAAGTCAAAATTGTAAGATTAAAGAAGTCAGAATTCTGAGATGAGATTAAAGCCAGAATTCTGAGAAAAAAATCTGAATTCTGAGATTAAAGTCAGAATTTTGAGAAAAAAATCAGAATTTTGAGATTAAAACCAGAATTCTGAGAAAAAAAGTCAGAATTCTGTGATTAAAGTCAGAATTCTGACTTTTTTCTCATATTATACTGAAATAAAATGTAAAAATCAGTTAACTTTAAAAAAAAAAATTTCAGTGGCCCTAATCCTCTTCCATACCTAAATGAGCCTCATAGGGAGGCTGATTTTAATGATCTATTGAATACCCGCCCATCCCTGCTGACTTGACAAGCGTGTGCAAATAGACGACCGGGAGACGGTGAGCAAATCGAGCCTACCCTCTGTTTTTCAGGGTGAGGCGAAGGTTGGGAGGACTGCAGTGCGCGTGGTTTGGCTGCAGGTTTGTTTTTATAAATGTTATATTCTCACAATGGTAGACAGACAGTAGCCGCTTTAACCTTCTTTGCAGGGGGGTATCGGACATTTTTGAAGGAGTATGCTTTGCTGTTATGGTTCCTAGTGTTGGGCAGTCCTAACGTGGACGCTGTAGCTGTCAGACGGACAGACGCCTCCTTTGAAACCAGACCTTTTAGAAAGCTAACTAGCTGTTAGCACCAAAAGTAATATCAACACCGCTAAAGGTTTTGTAGTTCCCCGAAATCAAAATGTCTCCCCGTTCAAACTACAGAACCGCAATCTGTAGTCAGAGTTTGTTTCATTATTTAAATCAAATTCTCCGAGAGTCATCCACAGGAACTTTAAAATGTTCCTTTCCCTGGACAGGACGTGTGAGCTGATGCTAACAGCTGCAAACAGCAGCAATAAGGCTACTGTACCTTTGGAAATTGGTTTTGTATGCTTCCTTTTTTTAATGTAAAACGTTTGTTTGTTTGTTTTTTTCCTCCTGTATATAACTGTTGTTTTCTCTTTTGTTTTTGTAAGAATGCAAAGTGGAGATTCCTACTTGAACATGTAAATGTGTGTTCTGTTCAATAAAGTTTAAAACAAACAAACAAAAAAAATAATAAAAACGGCTACTGTAAGCGTCCTGTTTTCATCTAGGCCTCCGTTTAGGAGTGATGCTTTTGCAGAGATGTGTTTAGCTCTCTGTTCTGTGGGAGCGCGTAGGAGGGCAGCATGTTTATGCTGAATCTCATAGTAACTTTGCCTCGTCTGTTCCTGTTTGGCTGTGAAACCATCCTGGAGAGAAATATAAGCTGTGCTGCTTCCATCAACACCTTTGTTTATAGATGTTGGAGATTGGCCTGTTTTTCCAGTGTAGTCCTGTTTCTCTGACTGTGACTGGCTGGATGTGCTCTCTTCATCCTATGATATGGGAGCTGGAGCTCGTCTGCTGGGCTGTGATTCCTGGATGGAGCCGCCTTTGACAGCTGCTTTTTGTATCTCTGCTTCTGTCTCCTTGAACCCTAGTCGGCCCCTTTCTTCCTGTTAAAAGGGAGTTTTTCCTCTCTCTGTCGCTACAAGCATGCTTAGTGTGAGGGATTGCATTTGAGTCAATGAGTTGATGCAATCAATTGGTTTTCCTTAGATAGAAAACTTTAAAATGAATTTGAGTGTATGATCTGGTTGAATTGTCTCTGTAAAGTGCCTTGAGATAACATGTGTTGTGAGTTGGCGCTATATAAATAGACTGAATTGAAACTGAATTAAATACACTCAGTCCATTTGAGGTAGAAATACATCTTTTTAGTCCTGGATTTATTTATTAAGTTTAACAGGGAAGATTGATAAAAGACACCTGCAGGGAAAGCTACACTGATGTGCTTTAATGGTCTATCGCAAAAAAAAAAAAATTTTTCTTTTTGCACCTCAGATCTTAAAACATTGTTGAGCAAAAAGAGGCATATACAGACCATTACTGAGTTTTCCCCAATTACGATTTTGATTTGGACTGAGCTTGGTTGTTTTTCTAAGGATGCATAGGAGGACAGACCATGTGCTTTGATAGGGCTAGTGTTAAATCACGTATACAAAATGAAAAAATAAAAATAGGGTGCACTGATTGCAGGTTCCTGGCCGATGACCAGTTCCTGATCTTTAAAAAGCTTGACATGTCGATTTTGATCATATAATTTTTTTTTATTATATAAATGACACTGTCAGTTATTGTAAGATCACAAAACCTTTAAATATATAAATATCTTATCTTACTGGACGACAATCAGTACTTATGAAGCAATATTATGCTTCTGAATTACAAAGTTTAGAGCTATTGATCTAGAGAAAATTATCCAATTTAGCTCTCTGGCCAATTGATTGGTGCATCTTTAAAACTGGTTCAGGGCTGAGGAATAGTGATTATCGTAACAACCGTTAACTAAATTAGTAATTTTAATAAACTAAAACTGAAGTATACAGAGTAAAGCATGCAATTTGTTCTACTCAGAGAAATAATTAAGCCGAAATATTCTCCGTTAGCTGGAAAATCTTTAAGTATGCTCTAGACAAAACAACACAAGTGGCTTAGTTTTAGCTTTAGACGGTTCAAATTCTGTAAATAAATTGTCCCGTTAAGCAACGCTTATGTTCTGATCAAAAGTTAGGACTGCAACTAACTATTAATTTTATAGTCTAGTTTATGATTGATTTTATTATGTTGTCCTGTGTTCTTATATGTTTTACTGTACTGCTGCCTCTTGGCCAGGTCTCCCTCGAAAAAGAGATTTTATCTCAAGGGACTTCCTGGTAAAATAAAGGTTAAGAAAAATAAATAAATAAAAATATTTTGCAAATAAGTTAATCTGTTGATTATTTTTTCAATTAATTGATTAATAATCAGATAGCTAAAGGTTCCTTAAAGATGACTTTTTATAAAATTAAACCAGGTTAAAATAAAACTTTTCCACTTCAGGAGTTCTGATAAAGAGTCTATGCGAACATTTTATTTTATTTTAAAAATGCAAAATATACATCCTTTTACAATTTTGATATGACTGTTCCAAGTGGTTCAGCTCTCAGTCTCTATACTCCAGTTAACGATTAATCAATTACTAAATTAGTTGATTATTTCAATAATCAATCAGGATTAATCCGATTAATTGTTTCAGCCCTATCATCAGTTGTTTATTGGAAAAAGTGGTCAGCAGATCCTTCCAGCCCTAACCTAAATGCATTAAGATATTCCAGGAAGAAATTTTCTTTTTAAATCATCTGAAAAAAATAAAATAAAGCGTCATCTTTTATGAACAGAAAATAAAGTTTATTCTTTGAACAGTAACCTGACAACTAGAACATGTCTTTTTTTCCATTAGGGCTGATACTTTCGGATTAATCGATTAACAAAATAATTGTCAACTAATTTAAATCGATTAATCTTTAACTGACGTATAGACTCTAAAACATGCTTTTAGCTGACAGAGCGACCCACTTAGAGTAACAGTTATACCAAAATTGTAAAAAAAAATACATCAAAAATGTTAACATTTTGCATTTTAGATAAAAAATTGTTTTTGTCTGTCAGTATGCTCTATCCAGAGGTGAAAAAGTTTTAATTTTGGCTGATTTAATTTCATAAAAGGTCTTCTTTAAGAAACTTTTTGCTATCCGATTATTAATTGAAAAGAAAAATCAACAGATTAACTGATTTGAAAAATAATTGTTCATATGTGTACAGTCCAGTGATCAGTCGTGTATTTTTCCCCTTTCTTAAGATTATTCTCTCTGTGCAACAGATCTCAGGAGAACCAGTTTGCTTCTCACTCTAAACTCATGACAATGGAAATGAAAGACGAACAGCAGGAGGAGGACATTTCATTCAGCAACACTGACACTAATGGTGAGGTCTTGCATATTTGTGTTTTATACTTTATTATAAGCTGCACAAACTAATGTATGAATTAAAGGTATTTAGACTCAGCCCATCTGGTCTAACAGACAGCACAACATTTTTAGATTTCTACTGACAAGTTGATTTTCTGAAGGATGAAATTATATTTATGAAAAGAAAGAAAATTTCTGGCCAAAATAACTTAGCATGTGGACATGTCAGATGGTTGAGAGATCCTCTTGTCCAGGAAACTGCTGTTCTGTGGGCCCAAAGCAGCTCTGCCCATGTTTTAATTCAGAAAGGGTACATATGGGTTCTGGACTTGAACCAGGTTGAATTTGGCTGCTTAACTTGGTTTTGGTGGAATATGCTGTAGAACTTGCTCATTCCATTATTTTGTTGGGATTAATTAGCTTTTTTGTAACCATTCAACTCTGAATCACAAATACACAATTCCACAATCCTATCACTTATATTATGTACAGTGGGACCAAAAAGTATTTAGTCATCCACTGATTGGGCAAGTTCTCCTGCTTAGAATAATGAGAGAGGTCAGTAATTTTCATCGTAGGTACACTTCAACTATGAGAGACGAAATGAGAAAAAAAAAATCCAGGAAATCACATTGCAGGATTTTTAAAGAATTTAATTGTATGTATTTGGTCAATAACTAAAGTTCAACAAAATACTTTGTAACATAAACTTTATTGGAAAGGACAGATGTCAAACGTTTCCTGTAAATCTTCACCCGGTTTGCACACACTGTAGCTAGTATTTTGGCTCATTCCTCCATGCAGTGAGCAGTGATGTTTTGGGACTGTCGCTGGGCAACACAGACTTTCAACTCCCTCCACAAATTTGCCATGGGGTTGAGCTATAGAAACTGGCTAGGCCACTCCAGGACCTTGAAATGTTTTTGTTACGGAACCACTCCTTCGGCGCCCAGGCGGTGCGTTTGGGATCATTGTCATGCTGGAAGATCCAGCTACGTTTCATCTTCAAGGCTCTCACTGACAGAAGAAGGTTTTGTCCTAAAATCGTTAATTCTTCTCTCAACTTGAGTTTTTCATGGAGTTTTTCTGTCCCCCCCAAAAAAAACAGCCCCAACGCATGATGTTTCCTCCCCCATGCTTCACAGTAGGTATGATGTTCTTGGGATGCAACTCTGGATTCTTCTTTCTCTGAACACGACGAGTTGGTTTTTTACCAAAAAGGTCTATTTTGGTTTCATCTGACCACATGATATTCTCCCAATCCTCTTCTGGGTCATCCATATGCTCTCTGGCAAACTTCAGGCGGGCCTGGACATGTAGTGGCTTGAGCAGGGGGACACGTCTGGCACTGCAGGATTTGAGTCCCTCTTGGTTTAGTGTGTAACTCATGCTAGCCTTTGTTACTTGGTTCCCAGCTCTTTGCAGGTCATTCTTCAGGTCCCTCCGTGTAGTTCTGGGATTTTTGCTCACCATTCTCATGATCATTTTGACCCCACAGCATAAGATCTTGCGTGGAGCCCCAGATTGAGGGAGATTATCAGTGGTCTTGTATTTCTTCCGTTTTCTTAGAATTGCTCCCACAGTTTCAGTGCAGGTCTACAATTTTCTTCCTGGTGTCCTTCGACAGCTCTTTGGTCTTGGCCATAGTTGAGTTTGGAGTGTGACTGTTTGAGGCTTTGAACAGGTGTCTTTTATTCAGACAACTGGTTCAAACAGGCAATGAGAGGAGGACAGAAGAGCTTTTTAAAGAAGTTACAGGTCTGTGAGAGCCAGAAATTTGGCTCGGTTGTGGGTGACCAAATACTTATTTTCCACCAAAATGTACAAAGAAATTCTTTAAAAATCCTAAAATGTGATTTACTCGATTTCTTTTTCTCATTTTGTCTCATAGTTGAAGTGTAGCTATGATGAAAAATACAGACCTCTCTCATTATTCTAGGTAGGAGAACTTGCACAATCTGTGGCTAAATACTTTTTTGCCCCACGTTATTTTTAGAAAGTCGGTGCATGGCTTTGATTTGACTTGTTCTTCTGCCTCAGGTAAACGTCCTGCTGAGGACCTGGATGAGGAGCAGGCCTTCAAACGTTCACGCAACATTGATGAGATGGTGGAGCTGCGGGTTCTGCTTCAGAGCAAAGTAACCAGCGATCATATTATGAGGCCTCCTATTCGTGGGGCCACATTACATTTTTTATATTGTTTTTTTTTTTTTTTCTTGGTGATCAAAATGTTTTGCTTTTGCTCCACAGAATGCAGGAGCTGTCATTGGAAAAGGTGGCAAGAACATAAAATCACTGCGCACAGACGTGAGTTAACAGATAGAAAAACCCTCATGTGTGTTTGCAAAGGGAAAGCTTGTTTCTTTTTCCTTTGGTGCTGGTTTGTCACAGATCTTATTCAGGCTAAAGTACCCTACAAAAGCATTGCCACCTTTTTTAGCGATTGTGCCAGAAACTTTAACCTGTTTTTTTTTTGGGGGGTGGGGGTGGGGGGTTATGATAGATGAACAAAGAATATTAAATTATGAAATAGAAAGAAATTCTGAAAACAAAATGACTAAAAATAAATGTAATAGTAATTAAAACAACAAACAAACCAAAAAGCAACCAAGCAGTGCACTTGTATTTAGCACTCTATACTTTGAGGACCTTAAATGAAATCTAGAGCAGTTGAGAAGAGGAAGGTGCTATGTTAGATGTTTCCAGAGATGATGTTTAGCCTACAAGCAGAGTGCAAAAACTAACCTATCATCATATTCACGTGTCAAAATTGCCCAGTACAGGTTCGAACCTTAATTTAAAGGTATAATGGAGGATGTTCTTTTTTGGAGTGGATCATCAAAATAAGTGGTCCTCGTAATTGTCTATTATTCTGGTGATATGTTTACGTAAGGCCGTCCTACATGCTCGTCCCCATTTTCCTTTACCAGTGGTGAGTCTGATATAGTGGAAAAATTGCACATCTTCTTTTGGAAAGTTTGCTTGTATGACGTATCGAAATTGGTTAATTTACCGTTGCAGTTCACATAGCTCATACAAGCTTACTGTGTCCAAACTTTCGCCCTAAATCCCTCAATCACTATGTAGAGTGGGGAATATATAGTGCACTTTATAGTGAACTAAGTTAACTTACCGTTTGGACAGATGATCGCTACTTTTTGCTCCCCGTTGGTCACGTAACTCCTTCTTCACTGCGCCATCTTTATTAGTCGCTGCTGTCGGGTAGTGACATTCCATGGCAACAGCGGGCCACTGTGACAGCAAATCCCACAATGCTTTGGGAGGAGAGCTCTCTGCAAAGAGAACAAATATAGCTGCCTCTTAGGCCTTCTTTTCTTCTGTTACACTTCGTAGACACTTTTTCTCTTACAACCCTTGGCCATTTTCAAACAACCGGGGTGAGAAAGGTGAGCATCAGTGACCATCTGAAACCGTAGCTCACCATACATATACGCCTGAAAGTGCACATGCGCAGAAAAAAGATAACTATTCGGGGACGAGCACGCAGGACAACCTTACGTAAACATATCACCAGAATGAATGACAATTAGGAGGACCACTTATTTTGATGATCCACCTGGATAAAGAAAATCCTCCACTATACCTTTAAGTCAGCACTGGGATAAATAATCCCTTTTCTTTGAAGCCCTGTAAAAGACGTAAAGGTTTGCTGCACATTTCCACAGAGCAGCAACAGCACTGTGCTATCCGAAGATATGCCTTTTAAAAAAAAACAAAGCGCACACCATCAAGACTACTCTATTGATAATATTTCAAAAACAGGCAAATATTAGCATGTAGATTGCTGGCCAACATCATTTATCAGCCTCTACCGTGGGGTCATATTTAAATTGCTCTACTAATTTCTTTATTTTGCCTCTTTTTTTAATGGTTAGGCCAAATATATTTTAAAATTATTTTGCTAAATTCATGTTCAACAAAAAGTTCCTATCGGCTGCTTTTTTCCCCCAAGTGTTACAAACGTAACTAATGTTGTCCTTGATGCTTCCTGTAAAACGTATCTCAATCCAGGTCACATTTCCTGTTCTCCTTTACTCTCACAGTTTCTCTCATATCACTTTTGGGTTAAAGTGTAGCGTGTATTCAATTAAAACTGTATTCCTTCTTCCCCCTCTTCCCTTCTCCTTTACTTGTTTTTGTTCTTACTTTCGGCCACCTTCCTCCGTTGCCCATGTACCGGATCGACATGCCCCTCCTGCGTTGCTCACCTTGACGTTGGCCCAACCTCCGCCCCTGAACGAAACCTGACCGCTCGCCCATCTGACACTCCCGGTTGGCCCTGCCCATAAACTGTGCCCCTCCTTATTCGGGCATCTAACTTGACATGATGTGATTGAATGCCCCTGCCCAATGCCAACCTCTTCCACCACCACCACCTCCTCCACCTCCTCGGTCCATGCAGTACAATGCCAGTGTTTCAGTCCCAGACAGCAGTGGCCCAGAGCGGTATGTCCCACCAGTTATTGCCTCACTGCCTGATTAGAACAGTGAAACACTTGTATTTTATAGCCTGCCTTCTGTTTCCATTTAAACACTTATGTATATATATGTATTTATATATAGATATATATATATATATATATATGACAGTTTAACCCCACCCCCCTACCCGAAGCACCCACATCTTCTATAAGCTGTGTATTACTCTATTTTTCTGTTCGTTTTAATCATCTCCTATTAAGTTTGACTTTCTGTCACTACAGTTAATTAATGATGTCTGACAGCCCACTAAGTAGTTTGTGTTTTATACTCAGTGACACCTCAGTTTTTGTTTATGTAAGAAAAAAAAACAAAAAAAAAACAGACATCTTATTACTTTTCTCTGCCTCCTGTGACCCACCTCAGGTCCTCTCCACCTCCCCTTGCCTCCAGCCTGCCATTCTTCTCTGCCTCCGCTCCCCACACTTTTTTCATCATTATTGTCCCATGATCTCTGAGAGAGAGAGAGCTTGCTTTTCTGTGGAGCCTCCACCCCTTTCACTCTGTCACTTCATTGCCTCTTGATACCATTGTGCTGCCCCCCTCCCTTCCCCTACGTGGTCTTCCTCTTTGCCTCAAAGAACCCCAAACCCCTCTACTGTGTAATGTTTTCTACCGCCCACCTTGTCCAATCTCAGTTTGACACCTTAGCTCTTCCCCCTCCCCTTCCTCCCCAACCCGTGGTCACAATGAGTAGGCAGAATAAAATAGAAATAGCCTTTATTTTCCCACAGTGGGGGAAATTCAGGTAAGCTGGCGAAGCAACTGCATTTGAATGACTTTCTTGTTCCCTGACTTGCTGGTGGTGGGATGGTTACAGACTTTTTCTTGCACTGACTACCCTTTCCGCAAATCTGTGGCCCCTTTCCTGTGATTTTTGCAGAATGGTGACCTGGAATTCACCCTCCTCTCAAAGCTTTTCCTGCTATTGAAATTAGTATTGGAGTCTGCATGCCTGCTGCTGCCAGTGTAGTGTCAGGAGGGAAAGATAAACAGATTTGCAGGCGCTGCAGCGGCCTTAATTTGTCCTTGTTTAAAACCTTTCGTTTGTCTCTTTGGACTAGTTTTCTGGACTGTTTCGCATATATTTTAGGTTAATCCCTCTTTTCTTGTTTGTTTCGTAATTCTTTTATTCCTCTTTGTGGAATTGATCAACAGGATCCTGAGTGTGAGTGCCAGTATCGACACTATTGGAGATATTCTACTAAAAATCATACCAACATTAGAGGAGGTAAGATTTTTCAATATATTGTGACGTTATGAACTATTGATAAGCCTACAAGCTTATTATTCTACCCTTTAACCCCAACTTGGGTGAGCTGTTGATAAACCATTTTCTGTCGTGAGAAATAAAAGAAAATGCACCCACTTTAAAGCTATCACGACCCATTGTTTTGATTTCGGTTCCTATTGATTTTCAATTCGGATTCTTTTAAATTTTAAACAGAAGCGGTTAATTCTGTTTAATTGTTTTAAGAAATGCTTAGCGATAACTCACTTTTCATACATGACAAATATATTCACAAATGCACCTTTAGATTTGACATTTGAGCTACTTTAAATATGTGAGACGGCTCCAGTTGCTTCAAAAATCCCTCATTTCACTTTTAGATCTATCTCTGAAATAAAAATGTCACCCTCTCAGGTTGTTTCCAGATATATCCAGAATATGAGTTTATTACCTAGAGCAACATTTTATATTATTTTTTATCAGAGCAAATCCGATAGAAAAATGTGAAAACTTCTTCCCGTGATTATTTGTATATTGTTTGTATAATAATCCGTAGTGATTAGCTTTTTCCGAGGTTTAGAAAGCTTTTAATAATTTGGTTTTAAAATTAGAATAAGTAAACTGAACTGATGGTAGTATTTTTTATTAGATATACAGTATATTTATGTTTTTACTCTCACTTGGTTGTAAAAAAAAACCTCTGATAGGTCAAGTCCCTTATGAAAATTCCATCTTTCTAAAGAGGAAGCTTGGGCTGAGTTATTCTACACATGGGTCCAGTACAAACAACATAAGACATTAAGAAACATTGCAAAGCTGTTTGCGCCAAGATCTCCCTATGTGCTCTGTTACGTAAAGGTAAAACCTGTATATGAGTCAAATTAATGCATAGTTTTTTATTGATTGATATTTCTAGTACTGAAACATGATACCAACACTCAGTTTCTTATCCATTCTTTTCTCTCTCAAAGTAAGATGCACATAAAAAAAAGGAACAAAAAAATTGCACTATAAATCCCCTACAACTTGATTCAAATCTGTCATAGAAGATTCACATTTGGTGTAGAATCTTAAAATTAATCATTTTTACAGTGTCTTTCCCTTTGATTCATTAATCAGTTTTAAATTATATGTTGATTTTTTGATTGTACTTCTTTGCATAGTTTTGTTTATTCTTCTTACAATTCTTAGTTAAACTTTATAAAACTTGAACCAGTGGTGTGTACTGCTAATAAAATGTTAGCTTTGCTAACCCAAAACTGTGGTCTTGTTACCACTAAACATAAAGAAATGAAGCAATCTCTTTTTTTAGTTTGCAAAAATAACAAATTCCTATTAGATAGTTTTGCAATCCTCTCATCCATCACTCCATAGAACGGACATAAAGCACAACTGGATTTCCTAATAGCATTGTGTTCCTCAATGTTTATATCCTACGTTTACTCCATTTTAGTTAATTGGTAATAACTGCCACAAATAAAAGAATCTAAATTGGTGTTTTAAAATATTACCCAAGCAAAAAAGACACTGAAATGTTTTTTAGTTTTTTGGTTTTTCTTGTTTTGTTTTTTTTTTAGTACCAGCATTACAGTGGGATTGATTTTGACTGTGAGCTTCGCCTGCTGATCCATCAGAGCTTGGCTGGGGGTATAATTGGAGTGAAAGGTGCCAAGATAAAGGAGCTGAGAGAGGTAGGACAGAGTCTAGTCAGCCATATTAATCCTCTGTCCTTATGGATGAGTAGTGAGTAAAATAAGTTTGAAATTGCACATTGGTTCCCCTGAAAACTCTTCATAGATGGTGTTTTAATACTGATCTGACAAACGGTGTTTGTGAGAATAAATTTTGGCATTTTGTTGGGAAGGGTTTAGAAGCTTGTTTTAGACTTTGGAGAGTGACAGTGGTCAGAATATGAAACTATGTGTGTGTACTAGAACACCCAGACCACCATCAAGCTGTTCCAGGAATGCTGTCCACACTCCACAGACAGGGTCGTCTTAGTAGGAGGAAAACCAGAACGTGTGGTTGAATGCATCAAAGTTATCCTGGAGCTAGTGTCAGAGGTAAACTCTCCCTCTCAATTACAATTAATATCCCAAACACACTTTATATTGACATCTGATCCAGTTCCAATAATTTTGGTTAAAAATATTGTTTTTCTGAATGCAGTTTGCTGAGGCATTGATTCATGATGGCATCTTTTCACCTTCTTCCATTTTGCAGGCACCAGTCAAAGGCCGCACTCAGCCTTACGACCCTAATTTCTATGATGAGACATATGATTATGGTGGCTTCACCATGTTGTTTGAGGACAGGGGCAGACGACCCATGGGTGGATTTCCCATCCTTGTGCGTGGTGGTTATGATCGCTTGCCCCCGTTACGTGGCAGCAGACCTCTGCCTCCCTCAAGAAGGGACTATGATGACATAAGCCCCCGCCGAGGTCCTCCTCCACTTAGTAGAGGAGGAAGAGCGGGGAGCCGAGCACGAAACCTGCCTCTTCCCCCACCCCCACTACCAAGAGGAGGGTGAGGATTGGGAAAATTATATTGAGTGCTTTCAATCTCAGTGTTTTTGGTTAGGAACCATTTTTCATCAATGTGCATTAATTTAGCAGTTATTACTGTAAAAACATTGATACCTCTAAGGTTTGCTTTAAAAAAACTGAAAGACTACTGGTCTTTTTTTTTGCTATTTGTTTCAGTTACAGACTAAACAAAATTGTGGAATTCTAAAAAGTAAGGTGTAGGGCTGGGTGATTAATCAATAAAATCCAATAATCAAATTTTAGGTTTATGAAGATTTCTTTTTTGGAAAATCTGGATTTTAATTTTTTTTGTCACCAATCAACTCCTTTGGCTTCCATAATATCAATTCACACTCAAAACAGATAAACTGGTGTCTAAGTGCTAATTTCAAATATTTATTTAAATATTTTCACAGTTTGTTGTGAAACGTGAGTATTGCACTTTAAATGAAAGTCACCTCCCAGTGGACATGATGAAATCGAAGCTAGCTTTGTTTAAAGCATTATATTTCCTTTATTATTTTTATTATGAGACTTAAATTAGTAAAAAAATGTATTCCAATTTGAGATTGCATTTTTTAACTGTATCACGCTGCTCTAATAAAGACTTTGACTTATTGAATTAGTTGACATTTCTACTTCACACTCTTTTTTTCTTGTTAATTATTGTTTGCAGAGGAGACCGGTTTTCACATGGCAGCTATCACGGCAGCATGGATGACAGACCAAGGTTGGAATTTTTTTTTTGGATATAATATATACAATGCTAAAAAAAAAAGGAACAATATAACTTTAATTAAATCAAACATCTGAGAAATCAAACTGTCCACTTAGGAAGCAACACTGATTGACAGTAAATTTAAAATGCTGTTGTGCAAATGGAATAGACAACAGGTGGAAATTGTTGGTATGTGTCTGCAAAAACGATTAGAGACAGTCTCCATGAGGATGGTACGAGGGCCTGAAGGCCAAAGATGGGGGTTGTGCTCACAGCCCAACACCATATAGGACGCTTTGCATTTGCCAGAGAACACCAGGATTGGCAAAATCACCACTAGCATCCTGTGCTCTTCACAGATGAAAGTAGGTTCACATTGAGCACATGTGACATGATGGAGTCTGGAGACACCTTCAAGGGTCATCTGCTGCCTGCAAGATCCTTAACTATGACAGGTTTGACAGTGGGTCAGTAATGGTGTGGAGTGGATATTCTTTGAAGTGTTGCACATCCCTCCATATACTCACCAGAGGAAGCTTGACTCCCATCAGGAACCAAGATGAGATCCTGAGACCCCTTGTGAGACCATATGCTGGTTTGGTTGTTCCTGGGTTTCTCTTAATGCAGAACAATGCCAGACCTCATGTTGGTGGAGTGTGTCAGCAGTTCCTGCAAGAGACTAGCCCACCCGTTACCCAGACCTGAATCTGATTGAGCACATCTGGGACATCATGTCTCGATTCATCCACCAACGTCACATTGCAGCAGACTGTCCAAGAGTTGGCAGATGCTTTAGTCTCCATCTGGGAGGAGATCCTTCAGGAGACCATCTGCCACCTCATCAAGAGCCTACCCAGGCTTTGTAGGCAGGTCATACAGGCAAATCAATGCCACACACAATTTTGATTCTCATTTTGACCTTTTTTAAGGACATTACATTAAAGTTGAATCAGCCTGTAGTGTTTATCCACTTTAATTTTGTGTGTGATTCAAAGCCAGGCCTCCATTAGTTAAAAACTTTGATATTCATAGAGTATATTTGTGTAATTTTGGTGTGAACACATTGAACTTTGTATACAACAAAGTATTCAATGACAATATTTCATTAATTCAGATCTAGGATGTGTTATTTGAGTGTTCCCTTTATTTTTTTGAGCAGTGTATAATGTCCACCCAACAATCAAACTAACCCATTCATGCTCCCATCCTTTAATCTGCCATGCATCAATCAATCATGCCATCCTTCCAACCATCCTTCTGTTTTTCCATTTTTTTCTAGGTTTCATATTTTACATCTGACAGCTCTGCAATTATTGAAAATTAATACTGAATGTTTATTCTTGAAAGCTTATCAGAATTGTAAACATAATGTGGCGATGCGTAGTGTTTGCCTTCACTCTATGCAATATAATTCTCTACAAATACTCAGAATTTACTTAAAGGATCAGACTTTTACTGTAAGAGATTTTTATAAAGAAACAAATCATCAGTTAATAGTTGAAAAACCCATCCGGTTTGGAGCCAATTAGATTAGGTCTATAACACATTGTCATGGTGGGAAACCCCTCTTGGAGAACCAGCATTTATAACTTCTTTTTTATTTGTTGTTGTTGCTTGTAGTGAAAGAAGAGGCAGAGACCGCTATGACAGCATGGTGAGTGTAATCGGCTGCAGCTCCAAGGCTGACTTGCTTTTGTTTCCTCAAAGTCTTTGTAGCCTCTGTGTTTTTTAGAGGATGATTGTATTTCCTTCGCTGGGTGTAGTAAAGCACAGCGGCTCTGATACTTCTGCTTTTTTTCCCTCCCTTCTGTGGATGCACACTCATGTAGACCTGTTGTTGCCTGGCAACAGTTGTCTCCGTGGTTACCGCTGAGCTACTGAGTACGCAGTCCAGAGATCCACCAGGCGAGCAATTGAACCAGAGCAGTTCTTGAAGTGGTTCCCTGCAGGTTTTAGCTGCAAGCAAAAGAGGGCAGAAGAATACTTTCTGACCATAAGGAGGATAACTACGGAGATTTAAATACTATTAAAAATAAGAAGGCAGACATACCTGCATTATATCAGGAGCAGTACAGACTGAGTTGTGGATAAAATGAAATTTAGATTAGTGCATGCTGCATGATAATATCTTGAGTTTGATTTTCTTCATCTTTAAATCTGTAACTTCTTTTTTTCAAGTTCAAGATTATGTTGTGATTTTCTGACTATCATTGTGTACGTTATATGGTATGTGTTTGTGAGCTCGTCAGATTCTCTCAGTTTGAGTAAGAGAGCTTATTGGTTTTCCTTTTGTGCTCAATGACTGTCTTTAACAGTAGTTATTTTACATTTATTTTATATGCATAATATTGTCCTCAGTGTTGAGATTTGTATTGACACCATTTTCAACCTTTGTGGGATGTAAAAGGCTTTGGCTACAAGCATTGCGTTGTAATATACAGTTAATGCATATTGAGTTTATACTTTGTTATATGCTAAAAGCTAAAAGGGGAAATAATTTCCTGTTAAATTATTTTCCTTTCATATTTTTCTCTTCTCCCTATCTGATCCTGAAATGCAGAGTGGAGGTGGTTATGGTAAGTTCTGATAATCCTTACAATCCTATGCAATATATACTGTGTGCAGTGTCCTATGCACTGTGGCTTTATGAATATTCGTCAAATGCTGTATCCTCAAAATGGCAAGAGAGGACTATTAGGATCCAGAAGTTTACACACTTCATGCTTAATCAAACCCAGTCTTTTTCATTGGTCGTCTCTACTGGCATTGAATATTGCTGAGCTTGGGAAACCACAACTAGTTCATAAGATTTCAGTATTAAAATTCCTACAACTAACTTTGGAGCCTGCCTCTGGGACAGGGCTAATTCCTGATTTTTAGCCATGGATCTGTATTATTTGTATCCACTGTCATGTTCATCATCATGTTCATTCATCTGTATGTTGTTAGATAAGTTTACAATTCTTCCGTCCTCAATTGATTGATAGATATTAAATACTCAGTAAATTCTGCTTCGACCACAACCATTGCAGACTCATTGCACCATCTATCCTCAAGATAACAAAACCCTTTCCTCCTTTCATAACTTCAAAAATAGCTGAAAACACTTGGTAACTGCAATACATCAGCCATTTTTCTGCTGCATTCATTCAGTCACTACTGGTCACTGGTACATGTTCTAAGCCAAAAGTGTGACTAATGACAATTTGAGACATATTCAAAACAAAAAGAGACTACAAAACAGGCTTAAATATGAAGGCAACAAGACTTTTGCTCAGTCTTTTCAAGACGTTTCAAACACCTATCCAGAAGTCTTTGTCAGTTCTGTTGGCTTGCACCAGTGCAATCTGTAGTGGGAGCGCTGATGTATTTAGGAGGCATGGATGCCCACCTTTCCGAGCACATACCAAGTCAGAGGCAAATCAAATAGCCCCCAGTGTTTCTTTTGGATTGTTGGAGTTAGTTGTGCATAGGCTATGTAATTGGCCTTTTGTGTTATTATGAGCGTGCTTCTGTAAGTTATTTGAAACTAGTTCCATGACTGGATTGTAAGTGCATGGAACAGAATTCCTGTTCAGTTATGTTTTTTTCTCTTTTAACAAAGTTGGCTTCCTTCATCCCTGTGTCAAACCATCTGTCCTGTCTACCCTAAAGCTGCACAATTTGGTGTTAAAAGGGGGGTCCTTTGTTCTTGAGGTCCAAGTGTACAACGAATTCTTGCCCAGAGTTACTGGCTATCCCAAACTGCCATGCATTTGTGTAGTTGTAGTTTGGTTTCTCCAAAATTGGAGGCTGTACTGGTTGCACTGGATTGCATAACAAATGCAGCTCAGCTAGGTGGAGGTATTCTACTTTTAGGATAAACATGTTTTGTCTGTGTTGTTTGGTTTGAAATAAAAAGGTATGTTGTCTGTAGAAAAAGTTCTTCTGAGTTTCTCAGAAACTCCTCACATGTATGGAATTACAATGTTTTTTCCATCTCTCTGTTTGCTCCTCTGTTTGTTGTTCTAGTTTTTCTTTTAGCCGACTTCCCAGGGCTGTAACTACCATTGAGGATCCCGAGGTCGTGTCCTCGGTATTTTATTAATTAATTAATTTATTGCTTAAATTGTTATTTAAACTAAAATAATTACTGTTAAGCTGACTGTAAGACGATGATCTTGGTCTCCCACTAAAGTGCAAGGTGTTTTATATTTGTAGAGCAAAATAGTAATGCGACTGTTTAATCATTATAAGTCATCGTCAACATGCACTTTTGCTGTGGTTTCTGCCACACGCAAGCTACCGCCTCACGAGTCTGTCAGTTCCTGGAAGAGGAGCACATTGAGCTACCAATGCAAGTGGAGAGAAGTTGAAGTTGTTGATGACGGTGAGAAAAAAATGCATTTTCATTAGGAAATATACCAGCGAGCTACTCTGATAGCAACAGAACGTTGAACCAAAGTTGATTTAACTCCATCGATACCGTTCGTCAGTCAATTACTGAACCAACACCCATTATGCGATAGATATGTTAGTGACGTCTTTGGCTGAAAACGAAACCTTTATTCAGCATTGGTTTGTCAGTGCTGGATGTTGAACCTGTTTTATATCTCTGCTGGAAGCTGGAGAGAAAAGCAGCGAGAAAGCATTGGAACAGATCATGCAGGACAGGAAGTCATGCGCAGAAACAAAATAAAACATCTGGTTAATTTTCTAAATAATAATGATCATTTTCTGTGGTAAATTACTCTTACTTGAAGAGTCACCATGGTCCTTCAAAAAGCCTCAAAATGCCTCATTTGTTTCTACAACTGCTGTAATGTTGTAAACTCCTATATTTATGTTAAATATCTGATTAAGCTAGTTTTACCATTTATTTTTTTACCAGGCTGCTCTGGAACCAGGGAAGCTAATTTAGTTTTCATTTTAATGTGTTTAAATTACAAATAAAACTCATTGAAAAATGTTGATGAAAATTGTCTTTCTATCAGTTTAGCTTTTGACTGTGTTGATTTTCTTCACTAAAGGGAAAACAGGATAGGGAGGGAAAGGCTGAGTCAAACCGAGCTCCTCTTTGGGCTGAGCAGCAGGAGGAGCAGTGAGGCGAGTGATTGAGGGAGAATGGATACTAGAAAAGGAAGGTGCTGCACCTGAACTTTTTTAAAAGTTGTACGTTTAATGCATGATAATCTCAGTATTGTCTAAGATTATAATAAAAATAGGTTATATTAGGCACCATCATCAAAATAATGGTTTAATAGTTTCTGGGTGTCTATTTTAAATACTCAAGTAAATATGAAGCAACTAATTTCAATTGTACTGGAATATCTTTAGTGAAACATTTCTAACCAGTTGTAGACAGAAACTTCAAAAGAAAGATGAAAATTAAAATCATCTACAGCCAAGTCATTCCAAGTACATTCAAAAGTCAGAATTATGTTTTTGCGCCATAGGACTCTGAAAATGGCCAGATTTATATAATGGAAGGGAGCACGCCACTGAACCCGCCTAGAGAACCTCAGTATGTTTTGGGCCCTGCGTACAGCCCTGAAAGTTCATTACATGTGAAGAAATCACTTGAAGTGTGTGGTTATCCAATCTGGACGTTTAAGTCGTCCAAAAGAAAAGCAGAATTAACAACACTGCATCTAAGAAAGACTGCGTCTTCAGAAGAAACTGATCAAAAGTCCTTTGCCTTCCAGTGTAATCCTGATTTGTGGTTGCTGTGACCAGTTTGACTAGGAATTTACACGGACAAAAGAAAGAGTGGGAAGTTAAAGTAGTTACAGTAGTGTCAAAAGTTTTTGTAATAGACATTGATTTGTTAAACAAAGAGTTCCGCTGTTGCTTGCTTACCTTTAAAAAACGTTATGCATAAGTTAGGCTGTCATTGGACATAAGTTGTGGACTTGTTATGAATACTCTATGTTTACGCTGAAAATTTAAAAAATTCATAGAAAATTCAGTGTATACCAGCGTTGTAGAAGATTCATGGACATCCGCATATGCTGGCTAAATCCTCAAAGTGTGACAGCGCCATAAAATAAAATTTTCTGTTATCAAGTTCAACTGAAAATAATTCACTTAGTGTTAATATTGTTTAGCTCCTTTGACACTGTAAATTAACATTGCAGTATTTTCCTCAATTCTATACATTCCAACAACAAAGGATAGGCGTATAGTCTGAGCAGCCATATTGGATTTTGAAGTTGTAGTAGCTTAAAGACCTCAAACTAAAAACTGCTTTTAAGCCTTTAGTATTGTGTTGCAGATTAATGCTGTGCGCAAATGTAACATCAACTACGAACTGAACAAAAGCTGAAAGGCCTAAAAAAATAAGGGAGTGGCAGTCATAAGAATGAAGCATGAATCACGTTCTTGATTCTTTCTTTTGATATATGTCTGTACAAGTATGTCGTTAAATCTAAGAAACTAAGAATGTCTCATAGAGATAACAAAGCTAACAGTTTTTTTCTCCAACTCATCTGCTAATATTCTAAAAGTCTTTATTTTTTTTCTTAACCTTTAGGTGGCTCTAGTTTGTATTTCTAAACCCTGGTGAATTACCAGTATGTGTTTTAAGTTATTTGTCTATGCTGGATTTCTATGTGGTATTTAAGAAATAAAACTGAACTTGGGAATTTATTATCGGCTATAAGCCTTTAATCATGATAAGAAATGTAATGAAATGAACATTCATGTTGGTATTTTTACTTTTGTAAACCTGAAGGTGTTTAACTCGAGCTTTGAATGTCATAAATGTGTTTAGTGTGTTTACTGCATGCAAACTAAATGGCATCGGTGGTTAGCTCCTGAAAAGCAAAGAGTTGGTGTAGATTCCGTCTCTGGAAGTTTTCTATTTGGAAAAAAAAAAGTTATTCTGCTGATGGTTGCTTGCATTATGTTTGATAAGTGCTGCACTGTTAACAGAGAAAGTTGTTTCTATTTTTCATCTCAATTTGTTTTATTAATTAGGCGTCTGTCGAGTGGTGCAAGACAACAGGTTTTACTTGTTTTCACAGCCTCAGTGCTTCCTCTTCAGTAGAGTTCTATGTAACCGTTAAATATAGAACAGCTAATTGATTCCTGGGAACGGGTTTGAGGGAGCCGTTCAAAACAGGACACTTTTGAATAGATAAAATACAAGAATGGACTAATAGTGTGTTGTTTAAAACCCTTCTGATTGCCTCATTTGTCACCTATTGCCTTAGTATTTTTTATTTTTACTTGGTAGGCATTTTATTTTTGGTAATCTAATGAACAGTTTCCAAAGCATATTCATATACTCTTAGCATAAAGAAGCTTTGATTCGGTTCAAATCCAAAGAATTACTTCTATAATAAAATTAAAGAAAAAAATTGAACTTTATTGATGTCACAATTGAGAAATTAACTCTCTGCATTTAATCCATCTCCTTTGGAGAGCAGTGGGCTGCCACTGTGCGTCTTTCTCAGAGAGCAAGAGTGGCAGTCTGTGGGAGCGGTTTTTTAACTCACAACCTCAGGATTCCAAGCTCTACGCCTTAACCACCAGGTCGCCACTCCCCTGGCCCCTACTCCCCTTTTTACTGTAGGTAAAACATTTCAAATGAAATTAATGTTGGACAAATTTCTAACAATTTGACTGCGGCCCAAAACCTTTACCTAAATGTTTCATGTAGTGCAACTAATGATGCATTATATTAAAATAAAGTATAATAGGGACAACTGGAATCAATAAAGTTTCATGTTTCTGTTGATTCATTACCATTGCTGTGAGTTTTAGACTTTCATGATTGCCATTTGTCACATAAGCTATTTCATTTCCCCTTTCTGTGGTGTATTTTCATTTTTCAGTTTTTGTTTCTGTTTAATTTTATTTTTGTTGTCGTTTTTGTTTTAAAGACAACATTTCTTCCTGGGACCGCTTTCCTCCTGGTGAGTTGGGAGGGAGCTTTACTGTCCCAGAGTTTTGCTTCCTAACCTAAAGTGATTGCTTGTTCTTGCTGCAAACTTCAGTTAAAAAAAATTCCTCATAAAGGTATTTCACTCTTTTTAGGTGGCAGAGGGTCATACAGTGACATCGGAGGCCCGGTCATCTCAACGCAAGTCACCATCCCAAAAGATGTAAGTGGAACCTGATTGTTGTGGTAAATATTGACATAAATCAAATGCTTTTGACGCTCATAAACCCACTTTCCTTTTCACTGTTGTGCAGCTGGCCGGCTCCATCATTGGAAAGGGCGGCCAGAGAATCAAGCAGATCCGCCACGAGTCTGGGGCATCTATCAAGATTGATGAACCACTAGAGGGCTCTGAGGACCGCATCATCACCATTACTGGGACACAGGACCAGATCCAGAACGCCCAGTACTTACTGCAGAACAGGCATGTGGTTTTCCAAACAACCTACATCATCTCAATGCAGCTGAGCTGTAAGAAGAGAGAGAGAGATAAAGTAATATGTTTTAGTGGTTATAAATGTTCTGGTTCTAATCTTGTAAAATAATTCAACATTTTAATTTATTTAAATTCTTTTTTAAACATTCAACCTTTTAAGTACAATTTATAGATGAGATCATTTTTGCCTTTTTGACTAATTTAGAGCATGAAATTAATAAAATGTGTCTGTAATTAGAAAATTCCTTGATAGTACCAGCATGTGTTCCTTTCCTCCTCATTACACCGTGATTGAGTAGGTCTGGTTGGGGAGTCGGTTCCAGCAGACAGGATTTATTTCCAAACCTTGACCTTGGTTTTTCTATTACAACATCAGCTCCACACGAAGGATGTCTTGCAGCTTGCAGCATCCAGTAATTACAGACCTATGTCATGCTTCTGCTGGAATAAATATTCTTCATGTGTTAACTAAGTTTTCTTTTTTTCCAGTGTGAGGCAGTACTCTGGTCGGTTCTTCTAGAGGGGAGAGAAAAGGGAGAAGCCATGCTGCCATATTGTTTGCTGACTCTGTTCAGAGCCAACATTCCTCTGCTTTGGGTAGATGTGTCCCTTCCCTTTAACCGTCTCTAGCTATACCACAGATGTGTTCTCAAGCTTTTATTTAGAGGCCTGAAAAATCCATAATTCAATGTTTGTGTATTATTTTTTTTTATATATATTTTGCTCTACTGGTATATAACCCATCTGTGTTATTAGGTTTGGTGTTGTGAGCCGGCCCTAGGGCTTATTTTTCTTCTTCAGTACAGCAACCGGAATGTACTTTCTTTTTTTTCTTTTGATCTTGTTGGGTGAAAGATATTTTATTATCTACTATTGACTTTTAAGAAAATTTTCCAAACAAAGATGAAAGGTTTTACTTGATTAAAAAACAAAAGGATTAGAAGAAAGTTCTGTAAGTTTTTATTTTAAGGTTTCCATTACGCATCTCCATATGCAAAAGGTGTTTTTTTTTAAGTAGGTTATATCATGGGTTATGGGGGAAACATTCATTTTGGGTCACTAGAAATTAATAGCATCTCAATTTCACAAAGAATGAAAGTTAAATGTTACATTTTATACTTGAACTGAGTTCAAAGAGAAACTGGTTAAGAGTTTGACTTTTCTGTGATAGTATGGAGGTACGACACAGTCAGTCTGTGGTCCAACTGGATATGTGAAAACATCAGATTTTATTGTATTTTAAAAGAACAACAACCTTTTTTTTTCATTGTTGCTAAAATTAGATAAAACACGGGCAATCTCAATTATGTTGAAACATAGTTTATATAAAAATAAGCAAATTGACATTTTGCTACTGGCAACTTTTATATGCAGCCAGAAAAGTAAAGTTTACTAACTATATATATATATATATATATATATATATATATATATATATATATATATATATATATATATATTAAAAGAAAGTAACAAGGTACCTGCTGGCCCATAACTTGCACACTAAAACACCAATTAATCAAAGTCCAGTAAAACAAATTAACACTGATGCTGCCTTTTCTTTTTTAGAACAACAGTCCAGACCTGTGATTTTTGATGACACATTTTCTGCAGGTTTAATGTGGAAACGATTGTGCTCGACTGTTCAGATAAGAAAAAAATAATATTTGAAAGATGGTTATACAATTTGTGTATATATTTGCTAAAACCTGCAGTTTTTTAGTTTGGTTTTGACTAAACTGTGTGATTCTTCCTTGGAACAGAAAATGCCAAACAGCAGATTTACTTGTTTCTTTTTTTTTTTTTCCTATGGTGGCCTTTTTGTGCCAAATATTGAAATAAAAGAAAACCTGTTGTATTTTCCCTGTTTAAAACACATTTAAGAAAAAAAATAAAAGAATGTAATAAAATGTTAAAGAACAAAGCCGTGTTGAAGATCTATAATTTTTAATGTAGGCATGCTTTTGTAGGAATTTGGCCATTTCAGTTCTTTGCCATTTTTGAGGATTATTTTTAAGGTAGTTTGGTGCCTGAATTTCAGATATGAACTGCAACACATTCAAAAGCAACCTTAATCACTTTAACAGCTGTAGATTTTTATAATCTTCTCTGTGGTTTGAAGTCTGCAGTGATTTCAGGATTTATAGTCATTTTAGTTTGAAAAGGAATCCAGGGTTTCTGCGGGTCATTAAAAGTCATTAAATTATTATTTTTTACATTAAGGCCTTAATTGGCATTAAAAAAAATTGTCAAATTTATCAGATTTAACTGGTTCCACGTGTTTGCGTGGAACTGCTTCTGGTTTATCCTAAAGCCATATGTTCAGAACAGAAGCTCGAGGCACAGAAAAAGCTAAACATTGGGAAAAAGCAAATTTTACATAAGTGGCTGGAAAACGAAAAATTCAGGACATGGCTGCAGCCATTTGATGGTAAAGATTATGAAGGATGAAAGTAATGGGTACTTATTGATGGCATTAAAATTATTTCTAAGAGCATTAAAAGAGCATCAAAAGGCATTAAATTAAGAGTTCCTCCTTCCTCTATAAACCCTGGAATCAAAAACTCAACTTTACCAATGTCCACTGGAGATCAGAACTAAAATAAATGGTAAGATGCAATACAAAATCTTCATCAGATGGTAATATTTTATTATTTTCATTGTTTTTTCTAATAAAAAACAACCCAATTACTGAAAAACAAGCCAAATCATGTATGTACAGGGGTATAAAATGGAAGTTAGAAATAAAAAAATTAAAAAATTGTAGGTCAAAATTGGCAGCATGACAAATTGATCCAGAGCCGTTAGTGTACACAAACTTTTTAAATACAGTTCCTGAAAGTATTTCTGTTTTTGGTGTTATATTTTGAATCTATGTACTGTAAATATTTTCAAACCTTTTCAGTGACTGACACTCCCAGAGTTGGATTTACTATTTTATAGCCTCTGTATTTTTTCTGATCATTGGAAAACATTTCTGGAGATCCAGTTCTGTTAGAGTGATGCCAACTCTGTAAACCCACCAGTCGTAAATTCTGTTTACTATCAGATATTTGTACAAACTGCTGTTTAGTAAATAAAGTCTCAGTCACAGTGCTTTCTATGTGCATTTTTTATTGTTTGCTTCTCTGGACGACAACCTATAGTATATGCACTTGCTGCATTATGATAAAAGGTGAAGAGTCAGCCTGTTGGCCTGTTAAGTGCATCCGTGGTTATCTGCAAAGAACCGGAAATGTGTTTTCCTATAATACAATATTGAAAGCCCACACTATTTCCCATCATAGCTCAGCCCTCTGTCACATGGTTCAGCAGTTAGTTGGGTTACATCCAAGACATCAGGAGGTCAGCCTCTGAATGAACAAGAGCTACATAACTTTCACATATCTGGACACCATTTTTTCTTTCTTTTATTTTTGCTTTCAAGATTTGAGGGAAGATTAAAGCAGCATAATCAGCGCGCCACGCCCGGAGCCTTGCCATCAGGGTTTGTAATGACTCGCTGCGCAAAATTTGTTACACAAACTATATTTCCTCTTCACTAGAGAGGAACTTTACTTTTCTACTTCCTCATATAGCATTCATCTTGCTTCCAGGTCAGAGTAAGAGTGTTTTGTAGTGCGCAAATTCAACATTTTAGGAGTTTTTAAATCATGCGGCTGTCCAGGTGCGCGCGGCGCTCCTTCCTCACTGTTGTGCGTGTCTGTGCCATGTAAGGTGAGCTGTTATCCAGGAGCGATGACGCTGAGCGCTGTGGGGTCCTGCTGCCTCAGTCCAGAGGCCAAAGAAGCTCGGAGGATCAACTCAGAGATAGAGAGGCAGCTCAGAAAGGACAAGAAGAATTCCCGACTGGAGTTTAAACTCCTACTGCTGGGTAAGGGACAAAAACTTACCAAAAAAAGAATCAAATCAAATATCTTGCATTTATCAAGTTTGGAGGTCTATTTCAGTTTTAAAAGATAATTTAATAAAACTACAAACGCACTTCATGTTTTTAATCTTGCACAAAGTTTATTTTCATTTGTTGTATAACTAAACCTTATAAAAAAATACCAAACTCAAAGTGCATAATTGCTCTTTTGTTTGTGAAACTAGTGCAGTAACGGTACCAAATGAAAACCAATTAAAATAATCACTTGATTCTTCTATATTCAGCTATCAATAAAGTATTGAAAGTGTTTGATATAAATTATAGACAAAGGTGTAAACTTTTTGCTTGCTGGGCGTTGCTTTCTTAAGAGATTTATGTTGCATACATGCTAAACATCATTGTTGCTTACATTCCCTTTATGATCTGTGTGTGAAGCTCTTTGTTTTTATGACTTATACGTAACTGTTACTTGCTTGCTTAATTATGGTGAACCTGTTAAGTTGCGGTTACTCTGTTGCACCATGTCTCAAAGCTAAAATCAGCTCAAACTGGTTTAAGTATCAAAATCTCAATCAGATGATGTTGACACAAGGGGTTTACATAATGGCCATCTAACCAACACATCTGCACTAATTGTGCGATCCTATCGTTTCCGTATAAACCATCATCTCAGGAGTTTTTCAGACATCTTGTTGACTCTTCATTCCAAGGAAATACATAAGCATTACTGGGAACATGTAAGCTGCTTTGCTAAAAACTGACTCTTTGGCAATCTGTACTCGGTACGTTTGATTCAAGAATAAACACGTTGTTGATAATAAAAATAAAAACTTCCTTTGATTGGATGTGGTATTGCAAAAAATACTTTCAGAATCAGAATAGTGTTTGTCATTATGCTCATGTAGGAGTATTTGCATAACAGATTTTTGTGTGAAGCATAAAGGCTTTGACAGCATAAGAAGTAAAAACAACATCACACAATATAATATAAGATAAATGTTAACTGCAGTGAAGGTCAATAAAATTCTGTATATATGCGAGTCAATGGAAGTAATGGGGGCTGCTCAGTGTCGCAGTGGGTAGCACTGCAGAACTTTCCGGGTTTGTTTACTGGTCCGGGATCTTTCTGCATGGAGTTTGCATGTTCTTCCTGTGCTGGCATGGGTTCTCCCCTGGTACTCTGGCTTCCTCCCACAGTCCAAAAACATGACTGTTTGGTTAATTGGCTTCTCTAAATTCTCCTTAGGTGTTATTGTGTGTGTGAATGGTTGTTTGTCCTGTTTGTCTCTGTGTTGCCCTGCAATGGACTGGCGACCTGTCCAGGGTGTGCCCTGCTCTTGCCCGTAGACACCTGAAGATTGGCACCAGTACCCCTCGCCAACCCCAGCAGGGATAAGCGTGAAGAAAAATGAAAGGGAAGTAATGGATTTTTATTAGGGAAAAAAATTAGTGTAAACCCATTCTCTGATGGTTCTGAACCACTTTCCTGAAGGCTGAGGTACAAACAGACTTTGGGTAAGGTTGTGTGTGACGATCCTGGCTGTCCTCTGAACATATTCAGAGTATTTGGAATCCAAATCAGGGAGAAGACATCCAAACATTTTCTTTGCTGGTTTGACCACCTACTGTAAGGAAAGTCCTTTCTTTACCATGAGGTGCAGCTGCCAGTAGGCTTGTAATTGTCTGTGATTAGACCTACAGTGTCCATATGATTTGCACACTTCAAAAGCAGGTTGGAGTGGAATGCATCTCACATTTATGAGTGAATAATTGTAGAGCAGAGCTCTGAGCACACAGCCTTTCATAAATGTAAATACATGGTCTCAAAACATCATTTTAATTAATTGATTTTTAACTATTTTTTGGAAGTTTCTGATGAAATTATCCTGTTAGATGTAATATATGCATCTCAATGGTTATTTATTAAATAAGTAGGAAAACTGTCTTACTATCTTTTAAATCTAAATTTTGTGCATCAAATCTTGTTGTTGTGCAATTATGTGATCTTCAGTCATCATTAATTTGGCTAGAAGTCATCACCGTAACAATAGTAACCGTTGTTGGGAACCTTTGTTTACTTGGAGTTTGCTCAGTGACACCACCTGTTCAAGAAGGGCTGAATCCCAAACCACCCCCTAAGTACTAACTCTTAACTATCAAGTGTCACTCCAAATGAAGTCACAATCATAGCTTTGGAAGGCGTCTTGATTGAATGTGGGGTAATAAACGAGAATGGGACGGCCTCTTCCTTCTGATGGAAAAGGAAAGCAGTCGTTGCTATGGCAATACAATGACGTGTCATGTGCTTGGCTGTAGCTCTGTGGCGCCCCTTTTTAAAAACAGATGTATAAGGTAAAATAAAACCATTTCACAGATGACCTTCCAGTTTGGAATTTCCGCAAATCAGTGGAATTTACAATTGGCGGAATGTTTTTCCTCCGCCACCAGGCCGCCGTTAAGAGGGTTAGAGGATAAGTGCACAGGGTTAGTGTTTAAGGGTTTGGGATTGGGCACAGTAGAGTACATCGTCATACCAAACCACTGTTGCCGAACTAAAGCAACCCTTTTAAGGCCAAAAGTAGTTCAGGTTAGCCAAAGGCCGAAGAAAAAAGCAGCAATGTCAGGAGAAGTACTACAATAGATCAGCTAAAGACCTGCCGCAGTTGACTGTGAGGATACAACCATTCCTATCCCACACTGTCTGGAGGATAGGCAGAGTACTGAGGCCAGTGGATGGGAGGTCCTATGAAATTCAGTTGCACTCTGGAAGCATTAGTAGGAGCAATAGCAGAAACATCAGGCGTGCACCAGGTGTGACCTTTACTGACCCTCTCGATATTGAGATCAGCATCCCCAGTCAGCCAAAAGCTGTGCGATGCAAAGATTCAAACACTGTCCCCATTTCGCACTGTGTAACAGCACGACCTAAACCCATAGAAACTGGCAACAGAGACAGCCCAGTCACAACCAGGGCTGGTCGTTCAGTGGTGCAGCCACAGAGGTATACGGACTGTGTGGTAAAATACTGGTGAAGAAACTGATATGTTGATGTCTACATGCATCCTGCACTATGGCGAAGTAAACAAGCACAAAATTTACAGTTTAAATTTGTTAATATAGATGTTATCATTTGCAAATTTCAGGTTGTGACCTAATATCAACATTGATTTTAGTTGATGTTTACTGTGTTTTCAGTTTTGTTAGATGTTATGTTCATTAGTTTTAGATGTTATGTTGATCAGTTGCTAATGGCAGATTTTGATTTATGACCATATAAAAATGCTTAGGATGTTTTACTACGCCCTGTTCTTGTGAGACTTTTGTTTGTTGGTTATAGACTTATTTTGAGATTTTGAGACAGTACTTACTCTCAAAGGAGAAAATATGTAAAAATAGGAACTATTGTTGGGAACCTTTGTTCACTTTCTCAAGAATATTTTTAAGTGTGGCACTATGTGTTGAAGACTGGTTTTTGAGTTATTCTACACTATGAGAATAATAAAGTTTGTAACCGGAATGGGTAAACACTAAAAGAAAGAGTCCTTCACAGTAAAAGAGAACAACTTTAACAACCATGACTTTTTTTTATAGAATTTGTATTTTTTAAGTAAATTTATGTCTGGTATGAACTGGTAGAATTAATTTAACTGTTTGGCTTTGATCATAGACCACACATTTGGGAAAGTTTGGGACTTTGGTAAAGTATTAGCTTTCTCTCCTGACATTTATATTCTTCTTTGTTGACATTGTGCTTGACACGTGGTTCAGTGTCTTAGATTCTTAATGTCTAACATGGACACCTTAAGCTTGGTTTATACTTGACACATCTAAGGGATACCTCCTCTTGGGCTTCTGCAACCCTCTGCGTGTACTCTGTGCAGGCAGAATTTCTGCACAGAGCCCCTAGGAAAATTTGTAGCTATGCAGACAGATCCACGCAGAACACATGCGCTGTGTCTGAATGTCAGCCCTAACCCCTAAATCCCTCAATCACTCTATAGAACAGGGACTAAATAGTGCACTTTATAGTGAACTCAGTTAACTGACCGTTTGGACAGATAATTACCACTTTTCACTCCCCGTTGGTCCATAACTCTACCTCCCTGCACGGTACCCGTGCCATCTTTATTTGTCGATTTCACTACCCGATCCTTACCTGAAGCTCGATCCATACCATCATCTCATCTACATCCGGGTTGCCCTCGATTTTAATTTCTAAGAAATACCTAAATTATGTTTTTATCTCCTTAAAGAAAGTAAGTATACTAAACTATAATGTGTTTAAGTTTAATAATGTTTTTCCTCAGAAAATAAATGCAATAAAATAATTTCTGTTTTATGTATCGTCTGTTCCCATCTGTAGCGGAAATTTCCGGAAGCGAACTTTTGGCTTCAGGTTTAAACATAAATCTAGTCTTTTTGAGTTTTATTTTTTCCTTTCCTGTTAACCTTATAGTATATAACAAAAAAAGAAGATAAACATGGTTTAATCACATTTTGCCCGACTACTCTATGCATGTCCAATGATTACGTCAGACAGGCTGTTTAATAGAGAAAATGTAAAAAGCATTGGATTGTCTCAGGAAAGTCATAAAAAAATGTTTTAAAGATTTAAAGACATTTGTTTATCGATTATAGGATAGAAAAAGTACTCTAGTACCATGATTACATTATTTATGGCAATCTGGATGAATATCTGCTAGCACATGCGCAAATGAGCTGATGGTACAGATTGTGCTTCCGGTACAGATCGGGTAGTGACAGTCGCTGCCACACAATTCCCATCATGCTAAGGGAGGAGAGCTCTCGCAAAGCAATTTGAGACATACCTTCCAAATGGCCATGGAGAGCGAGCACCAGCTCCTGCTGGCCAGAGTTCTTCAAATGTTAACATCTACAGACATCCTGTGATTTAGTTAATAAATATCATTACTATCAACACATTGACGAAAAACTGAAGGAAAGGAACTGCTCTGGCTCTTAAGTGACATGAAGAGGCTTTTTTAAAAGTTTTAAACCACTGTGTTTTCTACTTCCTCATGTAGTGTGGTGTTGTCAGCTTGCTGTTTGTACTGAACATCCCCCCCACACCCGGGAGCCGGCCAGACTGTGATGGGCGGCTCATTTTTGCATGGAATGTCCGGCGTCAAGCATAATGAGGCCATAATGAGTCCTTTAAACTAAGCTTCCTGTGACCGAGGCAGATCATCTAAACCCTTCTTCTTACTAAGCATGAAAGTTGTCTCTAAAAGGCATTTGGCATACCTAAGTGAGTTGTTGCAAGTATCATTTGTGATTAAAAATGTTACCTAAGTCAGCAGTAGTGACCTAGTTCTTGGCTGTTTCACAAAAAAAGTCTATGGTGTACAATTGCTTGAACTAATGATCTTTGCATCTGCATGTAGATTTTTATCATCATTTCTCTAGAAATGGCTCCAAAAGACTCCCATTGCTCCAAGTATTATCAGAGTGCTGTACTACAAAACCATCTTAAGGAAAGCAAACTGAGTATCTGCTTCGGTTAATTATTAAAAAGTACTGAAATGACCTTTATCTTGCTATGTTGGAAGACTCACTGTGATTGTTAGCACTGGTTATTCAAATAATTAAATCTGAATACATTTGTACATGTACGTTTGAGCCTTTACATTTAGGCCCTGAATTATCCAAACCTCTTATATATTTAGGTTTTAAGGAAACTTTAAGCTTGCCCAATATGTTTATCCTGGCTGGGAGTAAGAAGAAACAGAACATAAGCCCAGACTTAAATCTGAGAGAAATGGAGAGATCTAATCATTAGCTAGCTATAAGGGCTTTTGGTAATACAATCTTTAACCCTCCCTATACTGCATATTAATTAATTACATGTTCCTGTCTGCGTCCAGGAACTGGTGAAAGTGGGAAGAGCACTTTCATCAAGCAGATGAGGATCATCCATGGTCGTGGATACACTGATGAGGATAGGAGAGGCTTCACCAGGCTGATCTATGAGAACATCTTTACAGCTATGCAGGCCATGATCCAAGCCATGAGCACATTACAGATCTCTTACAAGAATCAGTACAACAAGGTATGCCTGACGGGATTTTCTGTCTTTTTCTGTTTCTTTTTGTTGTTGTGTCACTTAAACAAATTGAGAAAGATGTTTGACCTCACACTGTTTCAAAGAAGCATTTGCAAGCTTTACTTGCAGAACAAGCAGTGCAAATTTACAGTCTAATACACACCCCAGAGAAACACTTCTGGTAATTTTCAACAGTGTTTAGTTTTGCAATGTAGCTGCCAGCAAATTTTGTCTGCTTGCAGAGCAGACTGTCTCCTGTATAAACACATGGTGGTAAATGGTAGGCCTATAGAGACAGACAATTCCCTATTAATCCCATAGGAATTTGCACCTGTCACACCAAAGAACACATTAGTCTCTTAAATTTGCTGGCTCATACAAGTATGCAATAGTTAAATAGCAAGAGTTTTAGGTTAGGTTTAGGATGAGATGCAGACACAAGCCTAGTGAGTCAGCTTTTGACTTGTAAGGAGATGGGGCTGTGTAGTAGCTCACAGAACTTAGGATGAATTTGTAGCCCAGGAATAAGATATCAATTTAAATGCATTGATGGTGGCCTAGTGAATTTAACCAGTTTAGATTTTTGAAACTTGAGTGAAGTCAACTTAAAGGTGCAGCGAGTAGTTTTCCATTGATACTGCCTGTAGCCAAAACATAGAACTGCAAAACTCTTCTGCTCATTCTACAAGTACTTAACAAGGTTTTTTTTTTTATTTTGTTTTATCTTTTTGTTGGTTCCCAGTCGCTTAGGAGTATCCATCTTAAATATAACACTTCGATTGTTTGTTAGGTTGGACCGATTTTAAATGGATGCTCTTGACGTCACATTTGCAGAACAGCTTTGGAACACCTGACCTGAAGTACATTCAGAGAAAATGGGCTACAGGCTTATGCATTGGTGCTGAACTACTGAGGTGTCACTCTAATTATCAAATGTTGTTTTAGTTATAAAAGGTAAAATAAAAAAGCTATTTTAAAGATAGTTAAAATGTACAAATGTTTCTTTAAAAACTGAATATTTATTCAGTTTCTCTTTAATCCATATGGTGTAGAAAAAAGGTTGCCAAATTTTTCAGCTTTTGACCCACAAATAATGCCAGAGCCTCAATAGCCAAAGTGTTTCTCAGTTATACAAAAATTTCTTCAACATTAATAATACAGATGTGAAAATATTACTATAATTAATAACCAAAGTAGTTTATTTAGTCCTCTTTAAGTGATGCTTTTATATCTTTCAGCACTTTATCATAATCATCTTTATTATAAATCATTTATTACACTGTAGGTCTAGGTCTATATCATTTATTTTTTGATATACTTCAGTAAAAATGTACAAAATGTCTTTTTAAAAACTGAATTTTTATTTGCCGGGTCATCCACTGTACTTTAGCAGTTTGCTCAACATGTCTTTCACTTCCACCCGTAATATGACTCTCAACACTCTACCTAGCAAAGAGAGAGTGAACCTTTTACAATCTATTTTACTTTGAGTCTCTGGCTCTGATGTTGCTGCCTAAGTGATTCTTTTTTCCAATGGAGTTCAAAATGAGGTAATTGTTCCCACTTCTTATTGCAAAGCAGTATTTTGCTTACACACATACACACCCAACAGCTGCAGAATATGCTGAGTATATATTTTCATAACAGGACTATGTGTACTGAATGCTTGCTCATTATACAGGAGGCTGTAAAAGGAAGACTTGGAAGGCTGCTACATAAAACACACGGTCCCTTTATGATCCCTTTGCAAAGATATTCCCCAATTGTACTTTATCATGCGTTGCTTAAATACGACGACAAACATCTACCATTTTGTTTTGATTTTATGCAACAGACAAAAGTGATTCTGAAAAGTATTGTGCTTACCTACTTTACTCCAACACTCTCAAATAAAAACCCAAACCAAACTGCCTTGCCTCATTAGCAAATAGTCATCCTGTTGGTATTTAGATCCTACAATAAACCCAACTGTTCTACTTAGGTCAAGAGGTTTGCTAGAGAATACTTGTATGGTAAAAGACTCATGAAAACCTGGAAACACCCCAAACATGTTAGAAATAGGTTAAGGTTAGATCAAGAAATATCTAAAGGTTTGATTATTACACAGAGCACTGGTTAGTTCCTTGTCTGTGAATGGAAAGAGTTAAATTAAATTCAATTTATTTATTTAGTGTCAATTCACAACACATGTCATCTTGAGGCACTTTACAGAGATTATTCAGCAAGATCATATAGTCAGATTGAGTGAAAGTTTTCTATCCAAGGAAAGCCAGCTGATTGCATTGACTCATTGACTCGAAGGCAATTCCTCACACCAACCATGCTTGTTATGACAGTGGAGAGGAAAATTTCCTTTTAAAAGGAAGAAACCTGCAGAACCAGTCTCGGTGTGAGGGGCCATCTGGCGAGGCAGACAAAAGCAGACATAGAAACAGAAGCATAGATGCAAAAAGCAACTATCAACCAGCTCCACAGGCGGCCCCATCCAGGAAACACACATCCTGGCAGACAAGCTCTGAGCCAGCTTCCATGTCAGACGATGAAGAGAGCACATCCAGCCAGTCACAGTCAGAGAAACAGGACTACACTGAAAACAGGCCGAGCTCCAACACCTATAAACAAGTGTTTATGATGCTAGCAAAGCTTATATTTCTCTCCAGGATGGTGTCACAGGGAAAACAGTAATAGACCAGATGAAAATACTATGATGAGAAAAAGCAGAGAAAGGATAACATTAGAGATTGAACTAACAACTTATGTTGAACGGGAGAATACAGATAGAATGATGAAAAGGGGTCCCAATGTCCGCCAGCAGTCTAAGCCTATAGCAGCATATCATAGCTCAGGGTAACCTGAGCCACACTAACTAGAAGCTTTATCAAAAAGGAAAGTTTTAAGCCTACCTAGTTTCTCAGCAATGCTGACTTCCTAAATGAACTGAACAACTTCTTTCGAAGGTTTGAGGCACTAAACAGCACTCCAGCAGTGAAAGCTGTTCCACACCAGGGGGGAGGAGGCACTAAACCTGAACGTAGCAGAAGTGAGGAAAACTCTGAGGAGAGTCAACCCAAGGAAGGCCCCAGGGCCTGATAACATACCTGGGCGGGTGTATAAGGAGTGTGCAGTTCAGCTGGCAGGTGTCCTTACAGACATTTTCAACACCTCGCTGGACCAATCCATAGTGCCAGCATGTTTCAAGTCTGCCACCATTATTCCAGCCCCAAAGAAACCTCAGGTTCCCTCAGAAGACAAAGGAGATCATCTTGGACTTCAGGAAGAATCGGCCTAACCACGCTCCACCGGTCATCAACAGCTCAGCTGTAGAGGTGGGCAAAAGCACCAAATTCCTGGGGGTGCACATCACAAACACCCTCACCTGGAATGTAAACACCACCTCACTGGTCAAAAGGGCACAGAAGCGCATGTACTTCTTGCAGAGGATGAGGAGAGCCCACCTGCCCCCGCCCATCTGCATGACCTTCTACAGAAGCACCATAGAGAGCATTCTGACCAGCTGTCTCACTGTGTGGTGTGGAGGCTGCAGCATCTCAGACTGGAAGAATGAGAGAAGAGTGGTGGGAAACTCAGAGAGGATCATTGGGGCTCCTCTTGCCTCCATAAAAGACATTTCATCCTAGCACTGCATTTCCCGAGCTCGTAACATCATCAATGACCCCTCACACCACCACCATGGACTGTTCACCCAGCTGCCCTCAGGGACGAGACTTCAAAGCATTGGATGCAGGTCCAGCAGATTCCACAACAGTTTCTTCCCCACTGCCATTACACTGCTGAATGTTTTGTAAAATGGGTTATTGTATTGTATTTTATTATATTTATTATATTTTATCCTTATACTAAAAAATAAATGTTAGAACTGTAAATTTACACTCATATGTTTATATATATAGAATTATTATTTTTCAAGGCTGCACTTTTAAAAAGATGAAGTTGTTCTAATTTTTACATTTTTATAAAATACTACAAAATATATATTTATAGAATTGCAACATTTGTAGGGAAATGCTGAAACAAACATTAGCCTCTGTTATTGTAAAAAAAAATACATTAATAAAACAAAATATAAAGGGCTTTCTACAGAATTTTGACTTTGATGGTTTAAATAGAAATGTAGATTACAATTTTAAGATTTTTATTCTTAAAAAGGTTCATTTCACTTCAGTTTTGCAATTAGCAGGTAAATATGTCTTATAAAACACCTTTAATTCACTCTTAAGTTGATTGTTGGGACATAGAAAAAATTTATAAAAGTTTGAGGTGTATGAATGGCCTTGCAAAAGTATGAATACTTGGTTTATGGATTTACAAAGTATCTACAACTTCTGCAAGGCACAAAAAACAACCAACTTCTGGCCTTGTATTAACATTTGATTGTGTTGCATACATAATAGTTCTTTAATCCCAGTTATGGTGTATATATGTGGTACATAAATGTGCATTAATAAGATTTAGTAATTTTATAATAATAATAGGTGGATGACAAGATTCAAAAAGAGTCTCCTGTGCAGTTTGTAGTTATCCCATTTTGTTTAATATGATTACAACATAAGAATATTGCATAGCATTCACAATATAATGCAGGGGATACCGGTCTGCTAGCCTTTTTAACTATGTGCTTTCTCAAGCTTAAAGGAGGAAGCCCATTATGGGGCAGTTGTTTGTTGCAAACCAGCTGGAAATGTGATAAAAATCACTGAGACAATGTTTTTAAACTACACTTAATGAGTGCTGATAAAATCTGCTGGCAGCAGCGGCCACTTAGGCTGGGGAGTCTTCGTGTTTTCTGGCACGTTTCTGTCTGTCTAAAATTAAGGGAGGACTCTTTTCATCATAGTTTGATATTAACAATATAAGCCTTGTATAATGCAAATGCTGTTGCACAAATTCTAACAAATAATAATAATAAAAGATTAATTTATAAAAGTAAATAAGCAGCTCTTAAAATTGTTTTTCTTTTTTTCATTATTATATTAGAAGTTTCCGATGATTTAATCAGCTTGTTCACATTATTTAGAGAGTTTTAAGATGTATTTCCTAGTAGTCGTGTTTTTCCCAGCTTAGCGGTTTGAGTCGCAGCAATAGCAATAGGAAGGGTACGAATGTTTGCAGTGAGCCATTACAGACTGAGGCAGCTGGGAATGTTTCCCAGTCAGAGATGCAATCGGAAACGAGCATAACTGAATGTAAGCACATTACATTAAATGATCATAATGCTGCTCCAACCTTAAGTAGGTTTTTGCTGAAATATTGATCTGCAGCTTAAAACTTCAAACAAGAGGTGGAAGAACCTTTTTGAAGACTTTTTAATATGAAAAATATTTGTGCTGCACTGACTTTATATCCCTGTTAATTTGGAATAAGTTCTGACAGGATAAAATGTATAATAATCTATTATGTCACTCTTTGTCTCAAACTTACCTTCTTTTTGATATTTATACATCTATTTTTTTTTATTTAGCTTTGAAGAGTATAATACATTTTTCCTGTATTTCTAGACTTAAATGTTTTTAATAGTTGTGTTTCTGCATTTAAAGGAGTTTTGTCCATACTATTGTCTTAAAAGTACAATTATGTAAAGTAGGTGATATCAGCAAATGCGTTCATACTCTTAACATTTCTATGTTTGATAAAGTTTATTAACACAATCTTCATTGTGTTCATTTGAGATTTTATTTTCCAGGCCTATTGAAGGTGTTATAAAATTATGAAGTAGATGCAAAACGATACATGATTTAAACATTTTTGCCAATAAAAATCTGAAAAATGTGGCATGCATTTTCCTTCAGCCCCGTTGACTCTGAGGATCACAAAATCCAGAGCAATAAAATGTCTTTGAAATGTGCGTTACTAAATACCTAATCTAGTCCAGATGTGCAGAGTTTAATCTCAGCTTTTATCCCACAGTTTTGTTATAGAACATTACTGAAAAAATCATATTAATGATTTCAAGGAACACAGCAGGACAGGAATAAAGTTGTGGAAGAGTCTAAAGCAGGGTTGTGTTGTACAACAATATCCCATGCTGTAAACACCTTATGGAACAGCATTCAATCCATCACCTGAAAATGAGAATAGGCGGAAGACACTGCAGAGCAAGGAGAACATAAATCAGAGAAACAGCCAGGGCCACTGGTAGCACTGAAGCTCAGGCAGGAGAATCTGTGAACAGAAAAAACTATTAGTTGTCAATTCCATATATCTTTTATTAAAAAGGCAAGAAGAAAACAGTTGTGAAAGGAAGGAGTTCCTCTTGCAGTTTCCCCCAACCCCTGTAGGCAACAGGGGGACTGAGAAAAATGTGAAAATGGAAGCTGTATTTTGATAGGACCAAAATGTAACATTTAATATTTATGCAACCCTCTGTGTGGTAGAAGCACTAACCTTTCAGGTCAACACTTATACACAGCCCACTGTTGTAAAACAAGGTGTTGGTAGCATCATACTATGGGGATACTTTTCCTCAGCAGAGGCAATGAAGCTGGCATGGCAGTGGGTAGGTTAGGACCCCTAAACATACACCCAAATCTCCATAGTTTTAATAAAAGCATATTCATGTGAAAGAATGGACCAGGAAAAGTTAAGAGTTTTGTTCTTCCAAAAGACCTGCAGCATTAATGGCAAAAAACATTGGTTTAAAAAAAAAAAAAAAATGACCTAGATATTCCTAACTTGGAAGGTTTTAGTAGTAAAGTAACAAAATCCAAAGGTTTAATGACTATAAATACTGTTACAAGGTACTGTATGTGATTCAAGTAAGTAAAGTCTTAGTCTTGTTACCATGGTGTTCTTGCAACGCTGTTGTATTTCACAATGTGCTTTTTGTATATCTAACTGACATTACGTTTTGGGTTTCAGGATAATGCGGAGTTGATCAGTCGCGTCGAAAAGTTAGAAACTTTAAAGAGCCCATACATTGAGGCCTTGATGAGCCTGTGGAGTGACCCGGGAATTCAGGAATGTTACAGTCGGAGGAGGGAATACCAGCTCTCAGACTCAGCCAAATAGTGAGTGTCAACTCCTTAAATACTGTCAAATAATTTAATAATAGGACCTTTTTTAGTTTAAAATTCGATTTTTCAATAATTCAATTGTAATTTGTTTTCCTCTGCAATATCTCTCTTTGCCTTTAGTTATCTGAGTGACTTGGCTCGAATAGCTGATCCTGCTTTTTTGCCAACCCAGCAAGATATCCTGAGGGTCAGGGCTCCCACAACAGGAATAATAGAATATCCGTTTAAGCTAGAGGATGTGGTATTCAGGTAAGTCTTATCGTTTCTGTTTATGCTTATTGTTGCCACAAGATCACTAGTAAAGCCCCTATCACACCATGACTATTTAGCCAGCGTATGCCTGACGTCCCAGAATCTTCTAAAACGCTGGCATGGAAATTTCTATGTATTTTTTTCAATTTATGGCGTGTGAATAGAGTATTCATAACAAGTCCGGAACCTATGTCAAATGACAGCCTAACTTATGCATAACGCATTGCAGCGTAATGCCCATGATGTCACAACCCAGTGTTCTGAGGGCAGTAGCAATGCGCCCAGAGGCGCCCAGCCTGCATAAAACGATTTCTTTGATTGTGGCATTAACCTAGCTGCTGTTTACCGCCTGCCAAAAGAAAAGAGTAAATTAATTTAATAAAAAGAAAAGGAAAGAAATAAGGTTTGCAGTCGCAGCAGATTCAGCGTCATGTCTGCTAGGAAGTTTGTGGGTCGTGGCCGTGGGCGTGAACTTAGGGAGGATCCATCACACTCACCTTCTCGCTCACATTATGATGCAGATGAAGTCTGGAGGAGAACTGATGGTTTCCACCTGTAAACCCCCTTTTATACCAAAACGCCATTATACAGCAGCTGTAAGTTAGAAACATGTTCAGTGGTCGTCTGGAACACGTCAAATACGTTGATATGCGTTGGAGATAAGTTCTTGATAAGTTACCCTAAGTTATGCATAGGTTTTGGATAAGCTGGAAGCCATGACTTATGAGTAACTCAAACTCAACGAATGTCAACAATCAAATACCTCATGTGTAACTTATGGCCCACGTGTTCGTATACACTGGCACATGTCGGGAAATTTTGAGCATGCTCAACATTTCTCAATGGACTTGCCCTATGTTGACGTGTGCCAGCGTGTTTCAGTATAGTTCAGCGTACTTCACCGCACTTATAACTTATATAAAAATTACTCATAACTTATCCAGCACATGTCAGATTTTTTGCCAGATTTTTCATATGTCAGGCATACGCTGTCTAAATCATCAAGGTGTGACTGGGGATTTAAAAATCTGATTTGCCGAAGCCATTAAGGATGAAAAAAGTATTATTACTATAGGATATCGAGAAATACTATTGGTCCTTTTATTTTGTTTCTTTAACTCTGACATATTTAAAATCACTTTATCATTTCCAAACAAAAAATTGCAAAAAGTGGATAGTTGCCTTAACATCATAGAGAAGAATGAGAAGAATAAAACCTAAATATTATTTTGTAATATATATTTATAATATCTGTAGTATTTATAATTCAGTGATAATAAATCCGTTAAAACACATTTTATGATGAATAGAGCCTTTTTATTTAAATAATAAGGGATTCTGGTGTCTTATAATGTTGACAGACCATATTAGTTAAGTTCAGCAATGAACGATGTAACAAGGTTTGTCATAAGTTACTTAGATTATAGTAATACACCTACAGTGGCTGCCAATCGCCGTGTTCCTTGAAAACAAGTAAAACCACAAACTGTCATTTAGATGATAGCTGTTCATTGTGTAATAATTTGGTCTGGGTTTGACCAGACTTGCCGTTTTAGATTTTAATTGAAGTTCCAAAGTTCTCCAAAAAAGGTGAGATACATCTTAATTCAGCTGCTGAATCAGACAGTGTGAGATCTCCATCCCATTTGATTCTTTATTGATGCTGCGAAAAGGATAATAAAAACAAAACTAGAAAAGGTATTTGCTTCATAATTTTCAAAAGTGTCTAAAACATACACTTGGGTGTACACTTTTAAATGATCCAACCTTTAAGATCATATTATCACGCATTTTACTGTACTTTTGCTTTTCATTTATGTTAATAATTAGTTTTATTATATGAATAATTCATTTTGAATATATTTTAATATAGCAAGTTTATGGGTAAGTATTCAGCAATAACAAAAAAACCTTATAATGGCCACATATGTTAAAAAGTTCTTAGTCCGGGCTACAATAAAATTGAATCACTTTTGAGAGGTTTTCCAAAAAGAGCCTGTTTTTTACACATATTCAAATGTTGAAACATCTGAGCAATGACTTAGCAAATAAATATCTATACCTTACTATGTAATCTTAATGCAACTATTCTAAAACTAAAAGGGTGTTAAATAAAATGGGCAACTGGTACTGGTACACACATAATAAAACAGTTTTAACAAAAGACTTCAAAAGAAACTATAGCCGCTAACATTAGAGGTGTCCGACTGTTGGTCAGTGCTCTAAAACTCTGGACACAGTTGTTTATTTGTGATTTATTTGGTAATTTAAATTTTACCAATTTAGAAATTCAATTACTTAAAGCTTAAGTTAATTAGTCTGTTCTTTATAGATGCACTTTTGTTTGTGTGTTAATGGCAATATTTGACAAGCGAAGTTATGCACAACATTGCAGTAGACCCCTCAGTGAAACTTAATGTGCAGAATTTGTATATGCTTGCAGTTGTTGCATTTTAGAAGCTCTTGCATTGTATCAGTTGTACTATAAGGAGATATTTTTCATATAACCTGCATTCAGTTTCATTAAAAGAATTATAACATCAATCCTAACCCTTACATATTAAGGTCCTTCTATGATGGTTCGGCATTTTTTGTTTCTGAGGTTAACTCAATAAATGTAGCCCTGTCTTTGATTGGTTACTTTGTCTCTGCCATGATTTTGATCCAAAATAGTTTAAAATTGTAGTTCTTGGTGTTTGTATATAAACTTATGACTTTTGAGAAAATAATTCAAAGTTATACTGTATCTCATTATCGTAGTTTTTAAAAAGTTCTGCTTATCTTTACTGACCTAAAACAGAGCATGTTTTGTGTTTTTTTTAAATTGGCAATAAAAATAAAACAGTTTTGAACTGTATGTCATTAAATATATTCACAGAGGATGGCTTTTGTTGGAAAAAGACTTCATATCTATTGTGTGGGAATGTCATGCATGAAAAAAACACTCAAAATGCAAAGAACATTGTGTCGCATTAGGAATTATTTCTTACGCTTCTTTTTGTTGCCATTTGCATGATTTCCAATTAGTCAAACTGCAGGAATCAGCACATTACTGCTTTGAATTTGATGATCAGACAAACATGGATCTGTTTGTAGTTTACCAGGAAAGATGTTTTAAGAGCCTAATGGGCAAATCACATGAGAAATGGTGCTTCAGGCTCTGTATTCATGTAATATTTAAGTAGGGTGGTTAATATCTCAGCTGTTTGAACTTTTCACATATTGGTTAGCTCTGTCAGATGTGTTTATGGTGTTATTATTCTAAGCTTTCATGCGTTAAAGGCTGACTAAACACATCAAGCGCCAGTGTACATTTTACATACAGAACATAAATACATTTATATGGGCAGGAATTTCACAGTCATCTTATGGTTAAAAACATAATTGCACAAGTGATTCAGTTAATTAGCTGAGGTTCAAAACTAAAAAGCTAAATGTATAAATTAACTCCTGGTGATACCTGGCTAAATGTCCTTTATTAGGTTGGAGAGAAATAGAAATACACTTTTTGTGTTGATATTTGAGCAAGTTTATTGAAAAAGATAGAGCTACTTTGGATCGGTTAGTTTTGTGTTATTGAAGTAGAGATTGGGGGGTTTATTCAGAAGATTAAAGATAGTCTTGTTTGTTTGTTGTTATTCTTTTTCATTCAATTTTTAATGTGTTACAACATCATGAAAGGTTCTGTCAAAATTTCACCAGTCTTATTTCTGAGTTTAGGTGAAGTTGGAGAAAACACACGATCCTTCAAATGTGTATTTATTACTCCTAATAGCAATTTACATATTTTTTGCAATGCAGTAATACCTGATAAAATAGTGCCAAAATGTAACTCTATTTGTTGTTATTGTTATTATTATTTGGAAGTCTCATCTGTACACCTTTATATGTTTTTCTTGCCTTTGTGGTCAAGAAGCTTTCCTCTCCTTGTGGGCAGAATATATAGCCACGCCGCTTTCCTCCTCAAACCTTTATTTTATCTTCTACCTTAGGCCTAAGCTGCAGTCTGTAGAAATGTGATAGCATGGTATTAATACTATTTTAATTAATTTGATGATTTTTCTTTATGGCACCAACTTGTTGCCTCAGGATGGTGGACGTAGGTGGCCAGCGTTCTGAGAGGAGGAAATGGATTCATTGCTTTGAAAAAGTCACGTCCATCATGTTCCTGGCGGCGCTAAGCGAATACGATCAGGTTCTAGCTGAGTCCAGCCATGAGGTGAGAAACAGGCTGCTGCTTTTGCCTAAAAAATAAAACCTTCTTTTTCCTCCACACAGTATCTTATTATTCCTGTGCATGGGGGGAGGTGAAAGAGGCTCACTTTGGGATGATAAAAAAAAAATCCTTTTAAGGGACACAAAGGGAGATTGTTCTCTTTGTTTAAAGCCAAACGTGTTAAGTGGAAATGATGACCCAGATTTCTGGAGTCCAACACCAGCTTGATGTCTCTCTCCCTTTTTCTCTTTCGTTCTCACTCTCTCACTCCCTCTCTCCATTCCGCTTTCTATTTCACTTTTGGTCACGCTCAAAAGCCTCTTCTCAATCTTCCGTTGTGGCTATGCATGTGGTTGATCTGCAGGGGGAGCCCTTTAGTCACTCTGTTCTGCAAGGGGCGCCTCTGTGGGAAGCTGCTTTCTGTAATGATTTGTCAGGCAGTTGACTTTTCCCATGCAATCATTGCTCAGTTACTGCTTTCAGATTATTCTCCTAACATCTCTCCTCTTGTTCATGTGCTTCTCAAAGAACCGGATGGAGGAGAGCATAGCCCTGTTCGAGACAATCACAAGATACGAATGGTTTAATGGCTCCTCATTCATCCTATTTCTCAACAAGATGGACCTGTTGAAGGAAAAAATCATGTATTCACATTTGGAGGACTATTTTCCAGAGTATAATGGTAAGGGCTAACATTTGATTTGAATACCACAACACCCCCCACATTTACTGCTAATTTACTAATACATTATGCTGCCCCCTTTACAAACATTCCTTCTTTACAAAAATCACCCAGGGCCCAGAACACAGAAGGGGCTCCTTATCAGCCAGTTAAGTGTTTTTTTTTATTATTAGCCAGCTCCAAAGCTCCTGGAATTACACATGATGGCAGACGATATCCCACTCTTCTCAACAGACTTGTGGAATGAATGCAACCTCATGCTGCAGATACTTAAAAAAAAAAGTGTGGTCCGCTGTACCTCTTGTAAGCAGCTTTACGTCAGACTCGCACTGAATGTACTTCAGCTGTGGTGCAGGCTTGTTACAGAAAGTCACTCCCACTGAAATCTGCGACCGACCAAGCTTTCATACTGCTGCTCCAGCTTCAGAAATGGTGCTCAGGAGAAAAAAAGTTCATGTTGGTTCACGCTCTTCAGGAGTTATCGCAAAAAGCTTGTTATTGGTGCTAATGTATCCCTTTTAATTCTCAAATAGCCCCTCTGTTTGTGTTTTGCTTTTTCCTTTACTCTAGTCAAGTTATTGTAGGTTGGTCAATTAATTTTATTCTGAAAGTCAGTGGGACTTTATCCTGCTTTGTGCCCTGCTTTTCCTGTTGTTTAAATTGGGGAGCATGATGTGGAGACGTCTGCGGTGTCTGGCCAAACTTCCTTCTTGCGGAAATACTCTGTTTCTTCTCCAAAATATAATGTTGTCTACTGTAGATAAATATTTATCTTTTGCCAATCCTGTCCTTGTTCACTCATGACTGTATCAATCATGCAAATCCCATATCTCCTACAAAAGAATGTGGGATATTGTAAAAATAATCTCATCATGGCAAAGTGGTTCTCCACCTCTGTAGTTTTGCAGCTTTTAATCTGGACACATACTGACATGTACTGGAAGTCTAAAATATGCAGAATGAAAGATGATGTTAAGAGTACAGTCCCCTGTGGCGCTCCTGTGCTGCTGACCACATAAAGAGACAGACAGTACTTCTGTGTAATCCATTTGTCAGATTGTCATCACTTCAGACTAGCCAAGTTCTCCATCTGTATTTCTGGGTTGCTGAAAAATTAAATCGGGCTGAATCCTTTAGGATATCAAAGAACCTGATCCTGGTTTGTATTGCTGCCTACTTTGATCAATAGTCATGGTGGTGAAGAAGCAGAATCCAGAGCAAATGTTGATGATAAAACATTTAAAGTGTGGAAAGCTCTGGGTAGCAGGAGAACTGGATGTTGGTTTTTCGCTAAAGGATAGTAGAGGAGAATGCTGAACATGTTCCTGAAATACACAGATTGAAGCATGTGTTCATTCTATCGGCTCTGTATAGACTTCCACTGAGCTAATCCCACAACTGCTCAAAACCTGTGATCCTCCTTATCCCCGACCATAGATCTATCCATTTTTTTTTCCTGAAGACCTTGCTGTCTCCAATCTCGACTCATAAGTAGCTTTTTCTATACTCCTCAATAACTCCTTGTCATCCACCCTGAAGGCTATCTTTTCTTGTTTAGCAGATCTCTCAGGTCACAGAGTTTATTAGGAAAGCATCTCACTGCTGTGTTGAGGATTAAGTCGTCTGTGGTTTATATATTTGGTCAGACACTCAATCATGGAATTGCTCTCATCCCTATGTGTCAGGTAGAATGAATCCTTAGCCATGGCTTCCAAACACTTCAACAAGTATCTTTGATTCTCTGTTACAACCTTCTCAAAGTTCTTTTCATTATAGATCAAAGGTTTATACATCAGGCAGAGGGATTAAAGAAATATCTAATTTAAGCTAGAAAGATATCGCTTTATAAGTCAGGAAATAGTCACAGGAAAATAACTTCTTGTCTATTGTCTCAACCAGAGCAATGACAAGGATGCTGTATTATCTTGGCTCCAAACAGGTTAAGAAAGAAGGTAGATGTAGGGCTGGTTTTCCTGCAAAGGCCCTGGGAACTTCCTCAGTATTTGCTTATCATGTACACACATATTGTAACCTGATGTGCTGAAGTAAACAGGTTTTACTGTACTATCAAGTGTGTATATTTTAGCCACTATCTAATTGTAAATGTATGTTTAATTCAAACTTTTACGTGACTAAAGCATGCGCTGTCACTACAACTATAAACTGGAGTTTGGAAATCCAATGGTGGGACTTTAACTTGAATCATGCAACAAATTATGAGCCTCATCTTTCAAGCTAATGTAAATTATAGTTAGAATTTAACACACTGATAATTATTATGACTGCAATTATTGTAGTCATAATTATAATCTTAAAAACTCACAGTCATAAACATGGCTGTCAATGCTCAACATCAGGCACCTTGGTAAACATTGTTAATGATCTTCAATGCTGCAGTGGTGTTTTTGTTGAAGTGTTGGACATCGAAGTCGGAAGATTTTAAATAATCTGTTTTCCTCGGCCAGAAAACAAACACAGGGTGATCATCGTTAAGCAGGATTATCATCTTCAACGTACAGATACGTTTCATCAGATGAAAAAAAGATGAAGAAAATTCAAACCGCCTCCACTGCCCTCTCAGTCTGCAGGAGAAAGTGTGTTATAGAAGCAGCAGGCTGAAGATGAGGTTGTGGAGGGAGAGCTGGTCAGTGATCCATCTCTCTGTATGCTCCAGCCTTGTGAAATGTTATTCATGAAGACTGGGTTCATCCAGGATGCCTATAAATGCAGTGCCAGTGTTTTTTATTAAAGTGGTTATCTCTTCATGAGGGAGTAACCCTGCCACATAGATCTATTGTAATCAAAGATTAGATGTCACTATCATTTTAACTGAGAAGTTATACTGCTGCATTAAGATTAGCTTAATTTTTTAGGGTTCAGGTACATCAGGAACTCATTTCTCGTTCAGAAATAATTTTCATTACCTATATATATGTATTTCAAATTATTTAACTCTAAGCAAATGTCTTGTCTGACCCCCTTTTTCTTTTAGGTCCCAAGCAGGATGCTGAGAAAGCACAAAAGTTCATCTTGCAAATGTTCACCAGTCACAATGAAAACGTGGACAACCGGTTCTACTCCCACTTCACATGCGCCACAGACACAGGGAACATACAGAAGGTGTTCCAGGACGTGAGGCAAACCATCATACAAGAGAACCTGAAAGATCATAACTTGGTGTGAGCGCCTGGTGCTGCTACTGTAGTTGAACGCAGCCGGCGGACTGGGATGCCTCTGCAGCATCTTCATTTGCTGCTGCTGTTTCACACTTTAATCCAAAACAGGAAATTGGAGGACTTCAGAGCTTGTCATCAAATGACTGTACAGCCAATGCTTTTCAAATTTTCTTGTTAGAGTCTGTAAGTGGATGTCTCCGGCTATTACAAAGTGTGACCTGCCAATTAAAAGTGCTGGCTTTCAGCGGAGTCTAATATAGCGTGAACTCTGAAATTTATTGAGCGCTATGTAGACATTTTGGAGCGGTGGGAATGCACACTGGCAGATTAATAGGGGGAAACATATTTTACTGCCCTGGAATGCCTCAGAGGAATTGTGATGTAGTTGATCTCTCCCTCAGGGAAGGAGTGGGACTGAATGTTCTGCAGAATTCTGGCATCACTAAAACAGTTTGCTGGATTTAAGTTGGATAGCTTGGGTTGTGGCTAGACTAAAAGGGAACAGGTCATAATAAACACTAATCATTAAACTTCAAGCACACTGTGCATGTTTTGTCATTGCTGCATGAAATTCATTTGAATAGGTTTGGATCAGCACTTTGGATCTGTGTGTGCTTACTTTGCTGAAGAAGAAGATGAATTTTCTGTGGAGCATACATGTTTTATGTTTGTTGAGGTTTTTACTGTAAAGGGATAGACACTTGATGTTTTTTGGAGTGATGGTGCAAAGTTGGATAGTTAAACATATTATTTCAGGAATGGTTGTAATATTAAGCAGTTGTGTTAACTTAAAATGGATATTTATATACCTTTGATACAATTATACTGTCAAATGTTAATAAGCCTATGTTTTGTCTCTGAGCATTAAATTCAGTGTTACAAGGATAAACGGTTAAATGGAAAACTAGGTTCAATAAATGTTTATAAGAAAAAGACATGTTTTTACAGCCCTTTTGCTCCTAACAATAAAAATATAAGTAAAAAATGATATGTATATTCACCTAAAGTGCAAAAGCTTTATTATCCCCTGAACATTAGACATAATACATTTTATGGCAGGTCATATTGTATCCCTTCAGCTATTGCTGCTAAAATCAGAATTAAATAAGCCTTCAAAAATTATTTACAAAACTTCTGTTGAATTTTGGCCCAGAGTATGTGTAAATTGAGTCAGTTTTGTAGGCCACTTTGCTTTTACAAACAATCTTGGCTCCGTCCCCCCCCAAATTTTTTTTTATTGGACTAAAAACAGGACTTTACCCTTAAAAAGTAACCAAATAACTTGTTTTCTTTGAGCCACATAAGCTGTATGTTTAGTTTAGCTGCTTTATGTTTCATATGAGAAAAGTTGAAATTATAATAAACTTGTTATCTTTTCAGACTGTGTTCCTTATGTAATACATTTTATTACTCAACTGTTGGTGTTTGTCATAGTGGTTGTAATAGTGGTTACTGTTGGCTTTCTAAAATGAAGTCTTTTTGAGAACATATATGTGGTAAGACTGTTAAAAAGAAAATGTGACTACATTTAGATGTTAGTCAAAATTTTTTCAGTTTTTTGTTGTTGTTGTGTGTGGGAACTTTAGATAAGAAGAATTGCCTTTATTTTCCCACAGTGGTGAAATGTGAGTGTGATGGTGGCAAAAACAAGTAGACAGAAAACAAACAACCTCACACAAAATAAGAACAGAAAAATAAACGTTGAATCTAACTCTACAGCAGAAAAAACAAACCTAGATGCCTCTCATACAGGAAAATAAACATTTCAGAATAGTCTGAAGGTGTAGCCATTTTATTTGTACAGTGAAAACACAATTATTGGAGCACCCAGTTGTGGATAGATATTGCAAATGGACCTCAGTCCATCGATCTAGGATTGGATCTGTTGCTGAACAGAACATGCAACTGCATAAAACTTGATGAGTTTCACATAAATTATTAAGTTACTGTAGGATTGTGGGTTTATAAAATAAGAGGTTGTAATGCAGTTGTATAGTTAGACAGCAGCTACAGTGGGACTATTTGGCAAATATGTTTACAGAAAATCAGCCCTTTAACATAAAAAAAGAGAGGAACTCGGGCAGGTTTTACTTTTAATAGGGACAAATAATGATTTCAACAGTTTATCCTTCCAAAAATTTAAAAGCAGCTTTGTGTTTAACCAGTATTAAACATATAGTTCAGCAAAATTATTTTCTAAATAATTGTTAAATTAGACCAAGGAATAATTAAATAAATGGTTCAAAGTTTTGTGTGTGTATTACTTTGACTTAAAAAAAAAAAAATATATATATTTTAATATTAAATATTCAAGACAACAACAAATAGGTTTCATGGTCACAAGCTTAAGCTTATCTTAAACTTAAGCTTTATCCATTGGCAGACTCATTTCCATGTAACAGGAGCAAATAACAGAAATTAACTTTGGCAGAAAACAACATGAAAAATGCATTTATTGGTAATAGAAGCTGAACTATAAAAACAACCACGGGCCAGATATGAAGTACAAACATAACTAAGCTTTTTTTTTTTTTTTTTTTTTTTTTTTTTTTTTTTTATATAATATGTAAAACATGTTCACAGATAAAATACATCAACAACTATTCAGTGGGTTAATTATCTATGGTTGTTGTAAAATTACATCAAAGCAAACAGCGTTAACAGCTTTGTCAGAAACTACCGGTATGTATCACATGCTAGCTTCAGCTTGTAACAACAGAGGTCCGTTTCCCTCACTGATCTCTATCTATGCACCGGATCGCTCATTGCCCGAAAAAGGTGAAGCCACCATCTAACATGCTGGTACTCCCCACTCCCATCTAGACACGCAGTAAAAATGCCTACATCTGTAGCATTTAGCCGTAAAAATAAGCAGTTTGCTGGCTGTGGAACACGTTCCACGGGTAATTTTACAGTCAGTTGGTGTACTAAACAAGAAAATCCACATATACGCCAATGTATCCTATAGTATAGTATGTAGAGTAACATTAGTCTGGCTATCTCTGACCGACTCTTAGATATCAACTAAATTGGCCATTGTCATTGTGTCTAATGTAAGAAAATAGAAAGTAAATAGAAAGTAATTCACTGTGAAATGCCAATGTAGTAATTCATTATCAAGTGGATGACTCAGTCGTTTTTGTAGTGTTTGTTGAATTTCCCATTTGAAAAAACTCAGATTATAATCTGAAACTTTAAATAGATCTAGCCCAAAGTCTGCATCTCTGAGTTTTCGGTTTATCAATGGCTGCAATGAATTAGTTCAATCAACACCAAGTAGAACCACTCAGAATTCAGCACGTGCGCAATGAGCATGAAAAGCCATTATCAGCGGAGCCCTGATCGACGAGTCACCATGACAACAGGCAACAGGAAGTACATATTTCACCCCACTGAAATTACAGATTTTAATGCAGAAATGAAAATATAGAACAGTGATCCAGCTTCAATGGAGAGGGAGATGGTGAAGGAGAAGATTTTTGCTCAGTTAATTTAGTTAATGCGTAAGTTTATATGAAGTGGGCAATGGCAGGCTGTTTTTATATTTATCAAAAGTACTCCTCTCTGTTGTTCCGTTTGTAGATCACTAAAATAAAAATCACACTCTTAGAATGATCTGTAATGATATATTTTCTAAATTACATTTTTGTAGCAGAAACTGAATTTTAGAAAGTAAAAACACAACATGATACTGGTAAGAATAAAGATTTATATATCTAGAAATGTTAACATATTTTAAGTGATAATATTTTATCATTTATCAGCTTGACTGAATATGTATTTATGATATCTGGAAAAAAAAATTCATAGTTAAAATAATACAAATGCTGACCAATATTATCAGGAATATGGAGATCTGAAATAGATTTAAAGACATACAGAATGTTTATTCTAGATGTTAATGTAAGTGTAAATTGTCATTTAGACAAATACATTTTTTTTTTCAGATACCAGGAATACATCTTCAATAAAAAACATAAAACTATCAAAACAGCTTGCCATAGCCTGTTGTGACAGCGATAATATTGGATTATTTCTTGAATGGTTGTAAATCAATGTATCTACTTAAGTGAAATCCTCTGGCAGCAGGAGAAAATGAATTCTAAAAACGCTGTTATAATATATATAACCTGTTCATCATCTCATGGGTTCCTCCTCATGTTGATTGATTTAGTCTGTTTTTACACTAAATACTAATCGGGTGTTTGCAGCCGCACTTCGAATGTTATCACCCCAGTAAATGGTTGTTATTAGAGGCTACTAGACTGCCTTCAGGTTGTGCCAGTAGGCTCATTAGGTTGGTATCGAGTGAATCCTAATCCTAACCCTAAAGTAATACCTTTTCCCCCATCGAATAAATGAATCTATTTACGAATATTCTGAAAATAATTTAAGTAATTCTTCATGTACTGTAAATATAACTACACAGTAAAACTACAACAAATATCTGAGTAAATCAGGAAATAAAACAGAGTGATTGGCTTTAAGGAAAGCGGAGAGAGCAGACCTGCCACTGACCAGGTTAGCTCTGGGGAGGATGTTACTATTATGACTGAAACGGAAGTTGAGGAAACTCTCTTTGTGAACTGGAAAAGTCAGACTTTCCATGTTTTCAGGATTAGAAAACTGAAGAGTTTTCAGTAAACCGTCTTCATGAAAAGGACCCCTGAACTTCGTTTAGCATCATATGTATGTTAGCGATGTTTCTTTACCCACAGATAAAAAAAAATAACATTGCAAAATGATTTGATATTTCTTGCCATTTATTTCAGAATGTTAGAGTAATATATACCCACAGAAGCAGCTTCAGTCAGAGACTCATTTCATCACGCTGCACCACAGAGCTCCACAGGAAGTCATTCCTGCCTGTGGCCATCAAACTGTACAATTCATCTCAGTTACAGTCATTTAACTTATTAATTACTTATTTCCTCACTACACTATGTGCAATAACATGGTCATGTGAAATGATAGTAATTTAGCTACTGAGCAGCATTGTAAAAACAGTTAATTGTATACACTGAAATCTTTATTTCATCCTTGCTCTTATTTCATTCTTATATTTTATTTCCCACTGTTTATATGGGAAGGGATTTAATACACTGTTTATAGGGGAGGGGTGTGATTTTACTGTTGGGTTGTAATTTAACTTATTTTACTTTGTCTTATTTAACTTAATTTTCTCTTTACTGTAAACAGAAATAGCTCAGGTTTTTCATTCATTCATAGGTCTATGTAATTTTGATTAATAATTAATTTTACTGGGGATGAAAACCTGATATCTAAATGTGTATCAGAAAATCCGAGCTCAATACTTGGTTGCTTCTTTTTTGTGTGAATTAATTCACACTGTCCGTTTGCTGGCCATTTAGTACACTAATCCTATGAGCAGTAAATTTGCAGTAAAATTACACGCTGGTAAACTTGACACAATGGACAAACACCTGCAGATGACTAGATGTCCCAAATCATTGCTTACTGTGAAAATATCCCTTTGGAGTTCAAGCAGTTTAGATTTTGAGTTTGTCCACTCTTCCTCCAGACAATGGGACCTTGATTTTCAAATGAAATGCAACCTACTGTTTTTCTGTAAATAGAATTTTGAATCACTGATTAGCGTTTAGTTCTCCTCAGAACAGGTCAGACACTGATAGTGTATGTGTTTGGTTCCTCTGTGCGTAGCTGGTCATAATGTATGGTCTCTAGGTTCAGCCCATTCCTTTTAAAGTTCCTCAAAGTTCCTGCATTGATTTGCCTTAATCATCCATCTAAGGCAATGGTTATCCTTGTTACTGATGCACATTTTCCTAGTGCATGCCCTCCTTCCACTCACCCTTCCATGAGTATGCCTGAATGCAGCACTTTCTGAACATTCAGCTTCTCTGTTGCTCTCCAGGTGCATGGTGCCAAATATTGTATTCTGGTCATCTGTCAAGTCAGCAGTCTCCACTGACAATTGTGTAGCGTATTGATAAGGATTGAAAAAAATTAAAGGGTATTGATTGTATTGCTGCGATAGGTTGGTTTGGGAAAAGCAACAGAGTTCCACTGCACTACAGCTGAATTTTCTATTTCAACTGCCTTTCAAGCTTCCCCATTTCCCTTTCAACCCAAATACTTCATTATTTTTTGTTCGGAGCACATGATTAGTCGCAGGTCATTATACTTAAAATGTTTTGCTAAACTAATCAGGATGACTATGTTGCTTGACTATGAGGCCTATGGACCTATGCTGCCACATTGCTTTTTCAGCCAAGTTTTTATTTTTAATATTTTATCTGTTTCTTTCATTATGGGATTAACAAGCAAATTCTACACTGACACATTCTGATGGAACAATTTTCTTAATTGGCAATGATACACAATAAGATGTTGTACAAATTATGAACATAGCACCTTATCCATTTGGAAACTACCAAATATTTGGAGGTCCACAATTCTTGTCCTGATATATTGTTTTTCCATTGACCTTTACTGATTATAAAAAAGTGTTTGTTTTGCAAACGTAACTAATTAACTCAAAGATTGTGAATTAACCTACAAGTTTAAAAGGTAAATCCCAATCTATTAGACCTTCCCTATTTGTTTAAGTACATATATAATTTTGGCAATTCTGACTAATTATAAACATAAAAACTAGCTCGTCAAATAGTTGAAAAAAATGTTTCTTAAAGAATGTATGTAAATATCTGTTTCACTTCTATTCAAGACATTTTTTTGTGCTTGTCTTTTTTTTTTACTGAACTCTCTAAATGCATGCTGCCTGTTTGTCTTCTTGGCTGCCTCCACTGCTCATCTGGAGTCGTGTTCTTCCTAAAATCCTCTGCTGTG